AAGAAAAGATTGAGGAACGAACATTATATCAGTCCAATAAGAATCTACAGGTTTTTAGCTTATTCAACAGACCTTAAGCACGTGTACATCACTGTCCCACAATAATAAAGAAAAGTGAAATTAACATTAGGCTATGATAATTAGTAATTAGAATTGATACCTTGACGTCACGCATGGTCAGTGCGTGTGTCTTCAAATAAAATACATTTCTTCGTCATTCTTTGCAAGTGAAGGTTTATAAACATCAAAATTTGCTCACCACGGCCTTGAAAAACTTTGGTGAACCACAACGACAAATACTCATTTACCATACCTTACGTGTGATATTAAACCTCGTGTTAATACACTCATTTTGGGGTCAACAGACTGAGAAATTATATATTGAATCAATTTATATTTCCGCTGAACGTTTTCAATGACGTTATCAAATAGACCAGTGATCGCGAAATGAAAAAACGTCATAATTTTCTGACGCACATCCGTTGTAATCGACAGACTTTTTGTTTTGATGCGTCATAATACTTACTCACAATTTTTCATCATCAACATCACTTATTTGCACTCAATAGCGGTTAGTTTTCATACGTTTTCAGGGTTTTGCTTGAAAAGTCGGAAATACGATACAAATTGGTGTCTCAAGTTATCCTATTAACATCAAGTGCGAGAAAAACTCTTGGAAGAATAATGATGAAAAGTTGAATATGCATATTTGATAACATTTTCGACAGAAAGTCGCCATCAGCCAAAAGTGGTTTTCAAGAGTTCTGTTTGAAGTAGAACAGCTCAGGGTTAGCTGTCAATGTATACGTAAATCTGCATATAATGTAATTTACCCTCTTCATTTAGGGAGGGTTTACAGCTGAATGTTTTCCAAACTGTTTATCAACCAGAGTATTTCAGTAGTTTTTCATTTAGCATGCGTTGTCAAAGACGTCATCTCTAATGAAGAGAGTAAAGCATCGTTTTCGAAATCCCATAGCATAAAAATGTGACGTTTCCCGTTTGCCAGTGGGACTTGAATGTGATTCGTCTGTCGGTCAGCCTGAGTCGCTTGCAATTGGTGTCGTTGACGAAACATAAGTATGCAAAATAATTATGTAATGAATTTATTTTACGCTTTTTCAAAGTTCTTATTGGTATATAACGAAATTAGGAATCTTACCTTCTTCGTTGCAAAAAAAAGACTTAATGTTTCGTATAAGGCTTAGTAAGGCATCCAAACTAATGAAGAGGCCTTACCCTTCTGTTTTCGACAAATAATTTGCTTACAATCAGTTAAATTGTGAAGAAATAATCAGTTTTTTTCACAGCGAGACCTATGTTGACTCCTATGCTCTTAGATGTTAACCTGCGTTACTTCCATAGGAGCTGACCCTGACCTCCTGCTTAAGAAAGAATTGTAATAACCTCTGGTGACATCGCTCGGCTAAATTGTTAAACACCACATTTGAAGTCCCGCTAACATGAAATTTGATTCTTTGACAGAGGAACTTCGAACGCGATGTTCTATGACTTGTCTAGAGGTTAGCCCAATTTGCATGGGAGAGACGAATCGGGTATGTCCATCTAAGGAGGCAATCATGCACTAGTAAATTCTAACCCTTTTTCAAGTCATGTCAGTGTAACAAAATCAAAAATTCTTCCTCTTCTTTGCAGAAACGACACCATATTGTAACGCATATAGCTCCTTAAATGCTGAGAAATTATTAAAAACTGTTTGTCTCTTTCCGACTGCAATATCTCTTTAAAATAGATCGAACCGTGCGAAATTGGTTTTTAAGATCAGAACGTCTATGTTTTAATATAATGACACAAAGAAACTCCCAAACATTGGAGTCATCCTTCACGTCATCCAATAAAAAAGACAATTCAGTTTCTTTAAATAACTTCCCGCATAATCAAACACCTAGATAGAGAGACACAACTTTGCTGAGAGTACAGAGACATTTTCAAATGAAATACGAGATGGAACTTAAGGAAAGAAAAGATAAAAATTTAAGTTAAATTTCAAAAAGGTTGGTAAAGTCACATCAATTTATTTATCTCTAGTTTAGTGATGCTTTACATCTTTTGCGTTTTGCTAATCAAAACATTTTAGAACCTGCGTGTTTATGACGTCTTACAATGGCTGAGTCATAAACAGACGTCATAGTCACGAGACCCTCTGAAGCTTTTGGGCTGAAACGTTCATTGACTTATTATCCCTCAAACATCCAAGAGAATACCGATAAGTACCATTTCTCTCTCATGTGTATTATCATTACATGAGTCATCGTAATCATATGCGTGATTTACGTGCGCGATGTCAGTTGTTCATATCAAAAAACCAAAAGTACAAGCTTTAAAAAAAAACATCCATGAGAATTTAGCACATGAAAGTTATGCTCTTAGATCTAGTGAAACTTTCCAAATTTTGTCTCTAATAAGACTGGAATAAGATTGACAAGTCTGGGTGCGTCTTTCTTTTCGGAATAAAGATTAACCTTTTCCTATGTTAACTGAGTTGATTCGATACATACTAGCCAGCGGTATGCAGTCATGAAGTCAACGTTTGTCGACTAAACATTGAATTTAATATTAACTCCATTCTATTCCGTGCCCCTCATCTACTTGACGAACTGGTAGTACGTGATCTCTTGAAAGGAATGGACCACTAACATAAAGTCATTTTAAATCGAGTTTTCCCCTACTACCACATTGAATTTACACAGCAGTCATCCCGTAGTACGTGATCTCTTGAAAGGAAGTAACATAAAGATTTTAAAAGGGGCTCGAAGTCCTTTTGTTTACTGCATTCATAATCACCGCATGAAAATTATCTTTCTTCGTTAGCTTTGATACCACCATCTTATTTTTGCGTGTGAGCAGAAACTCTAATCTTCCTCCTTATTCTACATTTCAAAATCCAACGAGTTCATCCGTAATCAGTTTAAATTTCAATGTAATCTTATGTCCAGCCTTTGCAAATCGTATAGGAAAGGAGAAAACTTTTAAGTTTTGATTCCCATACGATTTAAAATTCAAAAAATTGGTAAAATATCGTTCGCCAAAACATTCTGTATCACATGCAAAATGGTTCTACTAAGGATGATAAAATGTCATGGAATTTCTTTTCCTTTTAATGAGCTATAATTTTATAACACTCAAACTATCCCAAGTGGTGAAGGCACATACATTTTAACATATAAAGAATGGAATGAACTCAAATTTAAGTTTCCTGATAGAGCCATTTGCGGACAGGTGTTCGTTGAGAATAACTTCTTATAGCTTGTCATTTGCGGTGGAAATAAAAAATAACATCTCGACTTGCATAGATCCTATCATAACCTCGAGACGAAGGAAAATAATATGGGAAGTGAGTGGCCCATATGAGGTTCTAATTAGAGAGCATAGGTCAGTTTAAAATCTCATTTCTTCTTTACGCAGAAGTTTCCTTCTTTTAATACCTTGAAATGTATTAAATAAGGAAACTTCTGCGTTAAGGGAAAGGGAGGGAAGGGAAGGAAACTTCTGCGTCTTTACGCAGAAGTTTCCTTCTTTTAATAACTTGAAATGTATTAAAGAAGGAAACTTCTGCGTCAAGAAGAAAATGAGACTTTAAACCTGACTTATGATCTGAAAAATCTGTTCTCAGTTCGGTAAGGAATTTAACCGGAAAAGTCCTAAGATAATATTTAGTTAGGATAACCCGGAAAATATAAAAACAAACAAAACATAAAATAAATAATAAACGCTATTGCAGATATTTTGTTCTGACGCGCATCAAAATTAGCCGAAATATATGAGCAAAGTGAATGTAAATAAAACAAAACAATCCACACGAAAAGTTCCTTGGTTCTCGACGGAGACCATCATTGGCCCAGATTTCTTAAATTTTAACGCCAATCAAACGTCTCCACCCATGTGTGAATGTTGGATTGGCTCGGTGGAGTGCTTTCAGACTGTTAGAACCAAGTTTCACACGAGTTAGAAAAACCACACAAGTCAGCAAGTTGCGGTGTTTTTAAAGCTTATAACTTTTATGGCAAAACTCCCAACAGAAAGGTCAATTAACAACACACTCGCGTTTCCGTTTACCTCCTTAAGTTTCCTTTTACAGATTTGCTTATTTTGCGGAACGGCGTTTGTTTTATCATATTTTCCTTTAAAAACTTCTGGCCAGAATTTATTCCCTTGGGCATGGCCGACGTTTGACCGCTGTGTTTATCTAGTTAAGTGCCTGTCACGTGGTACAATGTAGACAAGGTGACGGCGGCACGAAACGAAATAGAAGCTTGATCGATTGTAATTTTGTCAAAAAAGAGAGCTTGCCGCGAAAGTCAAGGATGAGCAAGACAATAAGCAAGGCAAGTGTTCCTAAAATATGGTGCCTTAGACGCTGTCAGCAGCTCATCGACACAGAAAGATAAAATTTGTTCTGGTTCCCTAGCTATTTTGAGGTTACTTTAGCCTAATTATCGGCCAAGATGATAGCAATAAATTACAGGCAGACTTGAATAAGCTAATGGAGTGGTCACGCATTTGGAGAATGGAGTTCAGTGTCAAAAAACGTAAGGTTCTAAGGGTAGTACGTAAGAAATGTATTTCTGAGAGGGATTATTTTCATGGAGAAACTAAAAAGGATCTGGGTATTTTGATCAGCCACGATTTATCATCACGTTGATATTACCTCCTCCTGAGCTCAAAGGATGCATGCAAGATATAACTAAAATTAGAACTAAAAAATTTTGTTTACATCAATTGGGTGCGGTCACGTCTAGAATATGCCAGCGTGGTATGGTCGCCATACACTAATAAAAATATTACCAGCTTAGTACAAATTCAGCGCATGGCCATGAATTCTCGGCAAGGAGTATTCTGAGCAACTTATATTTCTTAACCTTTACTACATCATAGTAGTATTCTTTTCTAAATGTTTAAATAATATATATATATATATATATATATAAGATTTTCGATTTTGCAACAAGCCTTTAAGAAATGCGGTTGCTTACCTTACACGTAATGTCCCTTTTATTCCAACAGAATCTTTAAGAATTCATTTTTCATTCGGGTTTGTTGCTCATGGAATGAACTAACTAACTCCTAACATTAGGGAGTCTAACATCTTATCAGTGTTTCGCAAGAAATTGTCTACTTATTTTTTTTGACAAGGTCTATGCTAATTTTTTCGTTATTGTTATTATGAATCAAGAACTTTCTTTTTTTCTTAATTAGTATTTCAGTAGTACTGATTTTTTAACTAGGTAAATAATTAACTATTGATTAAGTAAACTTTTGACACTCTAAAATGTTCAACCAAATTGTAAATCCTGACTAATTTTACTCTTTATCTGCTTAAGGCGTTTTGTGCTTGTACTTGTCTCGTGACAAAATTTTGAGAAACTAGAACAAAGCCGAATCCACGTGCAATTCTACATGACGTCATCGAAAGCATGAATATCCCAGACAATGAAAACCGACCAACTGCGTATGCTTGCTATCTTGCGACAAAACCTGAATTTTCTTTGGGTTGTAATGAGAAGTGGTGCCGCTCCCTAACACTCGCCAGTAATAGAGAAATTAAGTGCCAGCTACCAAATTCAGGTCAAGTCTATTCCGTGGATAGATTTAGTGGGGTTGGCCACAGTTCACGATGAATACGTCATTTCCCGACGATTGAAAGTAAAAAGTCCAATAAAACCAAATTTATGCAAATGCTGAGAATGCGTAGGAAACACTGAATATATGGAATAGACAAAGAAGGGATGTTGGGAAACATGGACAGCGAATCAAAAGCACTAGCTAAAAAATAGTTACATTCAATTTGGCTGCAACCCTCTTGAGTTGACTTTTATCATCTTATTTACATCCGGTTCATTTAGTAATTATTGTTGAATTATAATATCTAAAAGTATCATCAGTTAAGATCTAATCAAATTGTGCTTAATATTTTCTCACTTAACGACAATCGTGCAAGAAACAAACTGATTTTCAACACAGTGTATATCAAGTAAAACCAAAGCTAACACAAAATTAGCCTGATCCTGTTAAAATTTCAAATATCTGCCTCTTCGTTATAAAATGTGAGAAAATTCAGATGCACAATCCCTCTATATTTCGACACAATATTCTACTCCATGCAAGATCTATGTTAAAACTCATTCTTGTTTTTCATAGAGGCAAACTTGAAGTATGCTTTAAGTGACAAATGATCTGAGGGAAAATACTTATTAGGCAGGCCAGTATATGGCTCAATATCAGAAGGTGGAACTGTCTCTAAAGCCGCAGTGACCTCTAGAGTCCTAGAGTCAAACCATATAAAGTCCAGAGTCCACACACATTCAGGTCCTTCATGGTTAGTACACTGAGGTTCTGCACCCTAGAGTTTGTCATTTATTTAAGTAAGTAATGTTGTAAAATAAATGTGTCCCAATAATGAAGTTGATGGTTTGTGTCATAGTTGAATGTTTACATGCTAACTTGTTAAGGAGTGAGCAAACCTGATGTACAAGAAGATCCTCTGGGATATGTGGCAGGGTATTTCACAAGTAAGTTTTATTTCAATAACCAAAAATCAACTGAGTTGTGCGAAGTAATTGTTGACATTCATTTAATAACTATTATTTATCCATTACTTTTACAGACTTACCATTATGCTCTTGTAGGCACTTTGCAAGTTGACAAGTGGATTTTTGAGTTGTGCCTCAGTCTTGTGTAAAAGTGACACTTGATCCGGTAACAGCTGTATTGTAAAACACACGGGTGATAGTATCATAATACTTATTGTGGTATTAAAGGTTTCTTGCAATAGAATGAATAACACAACTTTACACTTTTTGAAGACTCAATTTTTCTCTTAAAGGCTGCTAATGAGAAGAATTTCCAGGGAGGTCATTTAATGCCCAAAATCACCATAGGTCACTAATGTGGCTGCTTATGTTTTTTCTGCTTGTTAGGTTTGGTGCCTAAGACAGAGTTTCTTTGAATTGAGAGCCCAAGTAAGACATTTACAAACAAAATCTGATATCTACCAACTGAATTTACAATTCCTCTACTTTATGCAGTAATTAGTGAATTCAGTGAGACATTTTCATGGTTTGTGCAATTTAGATTCATGTACTACCCCATACCTGCAATTTTTTCTCCATGTAAGTGTCACGACCCCATCTTATGTAATCATAACCCTTCAGAGTGTTGATCTCTTTATCTGTCAGTTTTCCCTCTGCCAGAAGCTTGTAGGCAGGAAATTGAGGCTCAATATTGAAGTCTCCACAAAGAATGTGCGCCACTCTATTACCGTCAGACTCCTGCAGTGATGAAACCATATCATAAAGGGCTTTGGTGACCATTGCTATTTGACAAACTTGGGAAACAGTTTCTTTCAAATCTCCCCATCGTATATGTGTTACACCTTCAAGGTTAAAGCAAAAGAGGGGATTAATTAGGCTATCACTGGGGAAGGCAAAAGGAAAGGATGTTGTTAGTACTTGGTACAACTTATATATTACATGTAGATGTACACCTGGCACAGATTTCAGTATAACAAAATAGTATAACATTTCCATTCAACTAGAGTTTACAACCAAATAAAATTAATGTACATACACATGTTTCTTAACATTTTGCTGGAAAAGACTGATCCACCATAGAGAGGCTGTTCCCCAAAGATCTAATTACCGGCCAACTCAACATTGTGACAATCATCATTTTTATCATAATTTTCATCATTATTACTCCCTCTTTAAGATCAAAAGATAGGAAATTTTTTATGCTACAAGTGAAAAGTCACATATATGTACAGTGCTTTATCTAGAAGATGTAAATTTACTATTGAATACCTCAATTCTATATTTATAGTTTAATTGTGCAAAATTGTTAAGTGAAACTTATGAGGTTAAAGAAACCTTTACCATAATGATTATTCAATCTATGTTCATGATCATTTACTCAATCTTAGCACCTTGTATTTATGTTACTGCACATCTAACAGTTTCAAGTTATCAACATGATAATTTTATTACAATTTTTAAAAGCAATATGCCCTGACAGGAAAGAAACATTAGAGATGAAGGTTAAAAAATGTATTCAACCAACAACTTTTAAACAAATGAAATTCTATTCCCACAGTCCAGTTTTTCCAATGCTCTCAAAAAGTTCTATGACTTTAGATTGAATGGAACTGAAAAGAGAAATGGGTAATTGTGAAGAACAGCTCCCCTCACTGACAGTCGGCTGACTGTTGGTTATCTATCGGCTGACTGTTGGTAATCTGTTGGCCGACTGTTGGTAATCTGTTGGCCAGCTGTCAGCAATCTGTCCCGAGGGGAGCTGTTCTTCACAATTACCGAGAAATGCATACATGCAACAACTCCTCTCTGTATCAGTTAAAATATCAGTCACCATTAAAAGGCTATTCTTGTTATTATTATATATTTAAATGTAATTATTGTCATATGATTTATGCTGATATCATATTTTCATGAATTCAAATAAATAACTTACACAATACTAGAAGAGAATCACTAAGTTTGTGCCTCAATGTAGCAAGTAATGCAACCTCCCAAAACAGAGGTATCTCAGTATGCTGAAAGGTGCACTCTGCCATGTCATTCAAATAAACTGTCTTTGTTTCTTGGAGGTAAAACTTGTTCTTCTTAAAAAACAGTGCCTCCCCTTCTGGGATCCCCATACACTTCTTTGCAAAAAGACCTTCATAACCCAGCTCAGATAATTCCTCTTTCAGAATCTCATTGAAGTAAGATGTATCAACCTCTTGCAAGCAGATGATATCACTGTCAAGCCATCTTAACTAAATAATAAAGAAAAAATTGTTTAGACACACGCAGGACCAGGTAGGACTGGTGAAAATTTTGACTCACTAGTACATAAATGATTAGAATTTGTTTTTCAAAACAGGCATTTAGTGCAATATATGCCTTATCCAATAAACAAAATATTGACCCTTAAACCCCCAAGATCTCATTAGTAATTCTCCTTACTGTCTGCCATACAGTTTTTATGATGTTAGTTTGGAGAATTTGGTATTAGATCAATTTACAATCCCCTTACTGATATTTTTCTTTATTCTCATCACTTGTCTGCTTGATATTGTGATAATATTGTAGGGAGAAATTCTATTTTGGTCACGCATAGGAGTTAAAGTGTTAAATGTAAAATATGAAAAACATTAAATGCATGCATCACAATGAGGAGCAGCACACAGAAACACACAAAACCAATAAGTACCTCAATAGATGGAAATTTATATAATTTGTAAACAAAGTGAAACTAACATAGAAATATGGTACCAAAGATGGGGTGTTAGATAAACAAAGTTGTAAAGAAACAAAATAACTGCACATAAATTTAAAAGAAGTTGTGTAAACTGTGTTTTATGTTTGTAAGGTGGGTTTCATCAGAAAACCTTCAAATATTTGAAAAAACCAGGATCCTGTATCATGCAGTCCCTTTTCATTCCTTTCTAATTAAGACTAGCAACCCAAGTCACCCTGCTATCACAATCTTTGAAATACATGTACATGAAGACACATTCTATACATGCACACACCTTTGAAAGACATCAAGAGCTATAACAAAGTGCTCAAAATTTTCACACTTAAAATCACGAGGTAACATGAGTAACTTTCTACTACAGCATAAAAAATTATGTTTTAGCATTTGTAGTATTATTTTGTTGGTATTCTGCGAGGTTTTACTAAGTATTTACTTCATAAGGAATTAATAGTAGTCTGCCCAAGATAACTAGCTCTCTGTGGGTCAAGAAATATTAAAAATTGAAACTGCTTTTTGTACCTCAGCCATAAGCAGTACATGACGATGTGAGGCTCTTCCATTTGTTCTGATCATGTATTCCTTTGGGCAATAGTTGTAAGAGTCTTCTTTCCCTGAACTCTGTTGTATCCAATAATCAGCAAGGATGTTGTAGGTGACAATAGAAAATTCATATTCCTTTGAGTTAGCTTCACTGACTCTCTTCAGAGCTCTTCTGGTGAAAGGAACTTCTTTTTGCTGATTCATTACGATAATGTTTTTCCTAGAGTATTGAGAAATAGAAAAATATTTGGATTATGTAACCTATGAGTAAGGTTCCATTGATATATTGGTTATATGATTAGCTGTCTAATAGTTGCCCATCTCTCTGGTGCCACAATAAACATAACATTTAGGTTCTGTACCTGTTGGACTTACATTTAGAAATCAGAAATTGTTCGCCCAAAGAACTGCAAAAAATTATCCAATAGTCTCTGAGTTTAAGTCTAGGCAAGGTATTTGAAATATATTCCTTTGAAACCTATACATCTGAATGTATATATATACAAATATATATATATATATATATATATATATATATATATATATATACACCTGTTTTTAAAAGTTTTTCAATTTGAAAATATAGATAAAATAAATATTCCTTTCCTTTTTCAATTAAAAAGGTGCTGACAGAATAAATCATAGGGATAAGTATAGCTGTATGATACACCAGCGAATATCATAGCTATCATAACGCAGCAGGCATTGAGAAGAGCAGGAATTGATGGGTAAAAGAAGAATAAAGCTGCAGCTTTTTTCATTCTGATTTGTTCTTTTGTCGTTTTATATACAATGTAAAATTCAGTAGTGTAAAAGAACATTGATATTCACAGTGAGCTTAAACAATAACAGATAAGGTATTACTCCTTAGATGTGGAATATACATGCATGGTCCATCAACTGTTTCATGGAAAGAAATAGAATGTAAATTTAAGATATATTTTTCCAATCTGCAATGTTTCTTAAACCGGGTGTACATGTATGTATATGTGTAAACACAAGCTGGTCTTGTTAACTTTCGAATTTTGAGCAGACTTAACAAATTAGTTTTATGATAATAATATCAATATTTGACCTGAATCATTCAGAAATACAGGAGCGACCACTTTAGAATTGTTATGCTAAGATTTTGGCGTCTTGACGGAAGTTTTCTCAGGAACTGTCATTCATCGAGCATTCAATTTACGGACAAATAAAACGATTGCGGAAACAAAAGATTACCTTAGGGACTGCGGCTTTGTTTTAGAATAACAAAGAGGTTCCACGGTAACCGCTCCTGTTTAGAAACGTGTTTCCTCCAATTTTATAGGTATGATTCTCTTGAAAATATTTTACTGACAGCTAAACTAAAGTCTCTTAGTTCATATAATTTACACTCGGCCAATCATGGATAGAGAAAAACATCTCAGAGACTCAACAGAGATGGGTATGACGGTAGAACTAATTTACATAACTTTTTCTCATCGAGAATCACGCTTTCGACAACCCCGATCCTTGCCTAGCCGTATGCAGGACACTAATCAAACAAGTTTGTATGTATAAAAAGGTTGAGTATCAAAACGCGGAAATCGGAAAATTTGGCGTTTGAATCCTCCTGCCGAACTCGAACGTTTTCTACATCCCTACGTCCCCGTATTTTCACTTTTGTATTTATCAACTCACCTCAATCGAAGTATTTGGCCGACACTTTCGTGACTATACAGATCCTAATGAGAGTCCTAAATGATCCCACAAAAATTTTGAGACCGGTGAGCTACCTAGCCGGCTCAACTAGCTTCATTCAAACTTATTTCGTAAAAAACCTCATTCCTTACTTTTAGATTTGTATTTATCAACTCACCTCAATCGAAATATTCAGCCGACACTTTCGTGATTATACGGATCCTGATGAGAGTGCTAAATGATCCAACAAAAGTTTTAAGGTCGGTGAGCTAAGAAGCCGGCTCAACTAGACAGTGGTATGAGACAACGTGACTCTGGCTCCACCGTGACGTGTGTCTCCAACGTTTCTTCTGGTAATCATTAAAATTATGGTAGTCATTGAAATAACCATTTGATAAAAAGGTGAAAAAGCGTAGCTTTTCTCGAGATCTTTCCTCAAGGGCGCAAATGCATAATTCAAAAATCACATTAAGATCAAAATGTGAATCAACAACATTAAGAGAAGCAATTAATATTTTTAATGACTGAAAATGAACTTGAGACACACCGTGTGACGTATACGACACTAAACTGAGGAACACTAATTCAAAAGACTTCTTACTTAGTGCACCCACTTTCATGGCTTATTGTACCAGGAAAAACACGGGCGGGGGCGTTTAAAAAATACATACATTGCTCATCTAACTAGTAACTTGATAGGGTGAAAATAGTTTGCTCCAAAAATCTAGGAACATCTACGTTCATGATCAGCGGAGGTGGCCCTCTTCATATAAGGTTAACGAAAGCTTGTAACCCCTAAGAACGATAAGCATCCAATTTCTCCCAACAACATCAAACCTGAATCAAGCAATGCGGAGGGAGAATAAAGGTAATGATTGTAAACTCAAGAAGCCCTTGATTGTCGGACAAATTCTCGGGAAATTTATAGGTAACAGTATGAAGAATTTGCAATATGATGCTGGAGTTTAAGGATTAAGGTAATATTGCTCAGGATGTCGATGAGAAAGTAACGAGATACGTGAAGAAATTAAATTTATTATTTATAATTTTAAAAAAAGTTTTTTAGTCATTACGATTGTTTACTGCAAAATTTCATCAAGAAGGTTAAAGTTTCGGCTAAAGAACATTAGTCATACGTTGGTTATTGTAAGAATTGAGTCTTTCATAAAAAACTGATCCTCTGAATGACGGATACGGGGATTGAACGCGCCGAAGCTGGAAGAAGAGGTAAATCCGCTTCCTTCTGTGATGGGCGCCCACTAACCATTATCCTTCCGTTACCTCCACTCGATTTAGTTGCAGACAGAAACCTTGGACATAAGCAGCGAGGACAGTGAGACAGAGGCATGACTGACTGGTGCGACGACTTCCCCACAGGCGAAATAGTGGAGCTTAACGAATTTACGGAAGAGAATCCAGCGTGGCTGTCAAATGGTGATGATTTAGATCGGCGAGAAGCGCTCATTTCTGGTTCAATGTTGCTTGAGTGTTTACTCAGCTTGTAAACAAACCTTTGGCGGGGAACCTGTAATAAATATTTGAAAGATCGCTAAGTGAATTGCATTACGCATTCAACGATAAATGTAAGCCCCTGGTTTCTGAAGGCTGTCTTGCATCCATTATAATATCGTTATTTAAAAGGTATTGTAAACCTGTTTATCTGGTAATGTACTCCACCTTAAATTTATAATTATATTGTGATATTTGTGATAATGTCACTCTTTAAATGGCGAACAAATTGTATTGTATATTGTGTATATATCAGTCACTGCCGTAATTAAATTCTCACTCCAAGGAGCCAACAGCAGCTTTAATGAACATCTATCTGACCAGACCAACTACAGTCAGGCGAACAGTTGGCCAGTCAGCCATTGGGTCAGTCTATCAGTTAGTCGGTAAGCCACTCGATCAATTAACCGGCCATTCAGTCAGACAAACAACCGGCAACCAAATCAAATAAGCTCAGAAAAAACGCTTGCTGTTGTTCAGACGATATTTGCTGAGAGAACATTATTTCACTTCAATTTCAACGAGTTCTGGATTTACCATCGTCACCTCATAGATTATGATGGTCTCTTTCGTCTCGGAGTATCTCGTAATATCGCTTACAGTATTAACGTTTTGCTGTTGTTTTCTGTCTTTGTAAACAAAGTTGGTTAAGTTAAATAGCGCAAACGTCCCCTGCTTTTCGAATTTACGGATTATTTTTACCTCTTGAAAGCATCATAAAAAGTATAATCACACTATTTCACTTCTAAGATAAAAAATAAAATGGTTTTTCTATAACATTGTATAACTTGGGGTTCCATTTGATCCGGGGTGATATGACGCTTCAAGACTCAGACCCAAACTCTTTATATGCACTTTTTGGTTTCTACATTCTAAAACAAGCTTTGGTTGCCATGCATTTGTAGACAACTTCAAACTGAGGCTATACGTTATAATTTTGAGCTAGTTTGGTAGTTAAAGTTTTGGAAACTTTTGTTGATACACTTACTGTATATCAACATGTTTGGTTGTTATACTTTTAGTGGGACCTTACATTGCTGTTGGCTACGTTGGTTGCCGTAGATTTGGTGCAAAATTTTGGTCTCTGTACATTTTATAGGCAGCTTTACAGTATAATTCTACGTACTGTAAAAAGCTTTGGTTCCTTCTTAACTTATGGCTCCTGTCCTCTCTTTTTCTGAGGGTTTGATAGTTTAGTTGTAAAACTCTTGTTGAAAAATGTTGGTTCACTGTTTTCATCCGTACTTTCCGCAGATTTATTCAGTAGCTGTACTTTTTGTGAGCAAAGCTTTTTGGTGTAATTTGTAGAAGTTGTCTGGTGGCACTTTTTTATGAAGACGAGTTAATTGCTCTTCATTTTGTTAAAGGAAACCTCCAATGATAGAATGAAAGGAAAGTAGCTTTACTCGGGCCAAGTGGCCCACTCAGCCGAAGCTTATCCCGATTTCTTTACCATGAAGCGACTAGTAGTATCACTACTCCCCCCTGGATGGGATGCTCGTCCATCGCAAAGGTAGAACAATTTGTCGTTAAAATGATAAAAACGTCTTGTACTATGAAGATGCGTGACAACAATTTGGAAATAAGAACCGAAATGTATGAAAAGTTTAGTCAAAGAAAAGCAAAATTAGTGCTCGAATTTCTTGGGGGCGCCAACTGTTGGCTCGTATGACTTTTTAAGGTTTCCACCATCATCATCATACAATAGCTCTTTTGTTCCGTAACGCTTCATATGATTCAACATGGCGACACACACAAACAATTCCAGTTTGTAAACAGCCGATATCTATCTCGATCTTTCTTACAACAAGTACTTCATTCCCATTTACGACAACAAAATTTTACTTTAAAGATTATTTTCGATGACTCGTCGTAACTCAAGGACAAGTTGTTCCACCAGTGAAGGGTTCAAGAGCGGTTGCTGTCGCTTAAGGGTTTGGTTGTTGTATTTTGTTACGTAACGTCACTTGCTGTAGATTTTGCAACTAGTGTAGTTGTGCTCTATTTCGTGAAGAAGTTTTGTTCTTGCATTTTTGGAAAGCAGTTTGTCTTTTGTATTTTTGTTTGGGCTTATGGTTACTCCTCTTTTTGTGGTCGAATTCATAAAATCTTTAGTCCCTGTAATTTATGTTGATGGGTTGGATGGAGTGTCCTATGAAGGGTGCTTTGGATACGGCAAGTACTTTGTGAACACAAGTTTAGTTGCTTTATTTCTTTTGGAGACAAGTTGGTTTGTTGTCTCGAAAGAAGAGGTTTTTCTGCTGTGATTTTTATAAGTAACGCTGCTTACTATGTTTTTTGTAAACAATGTCATGCTGTCTTGCTAGTAAGCACATTTGGTTGCTACCCTTTTTGGCAGATGAGTTTGATTGCTTTCTCTCTAAGAAGCAATTCTGATTGCTATTCATTTTATAAATATGCTTGAAAACTGCAATTTTCGCTTACTAGTGTAATTGCCGTTCTCTTACAGGCATATACTTTTTGCAAACGCGTTTTAAGTTGGGTATTGTTCTTTTCACACGCGGAAGAGTGCTTGTATCTGTGCTCTCTATGAGCAAATTTATATTCTTTTTCTGCCATCATTTTGGTGGATGACTTTGGCTGCTGTATTTTTTAGAGGATTTTGTTGATTGCCTTATCAGTAGAAAAGTTTGAGCACTCTACTATTTTAAACAAGTTTGGTTGCTATTTTGAACAGGTTTGTTGCACTTTTCAGGGCAGTGAATAGATTTGTTTGATATGATTTATGTTGACATGTTTGGTCGTTGCATTTTTTTGAAAATAAGTTTAGTTAGTGTGCTTTATTTGAACAAGCTTAGTTTCTGCACATTCTGTAAACAATTTAGGTTGCTTTACCTTCGTTGAACAAGTCTGGTTGCTTCACGTTTTTTTGTCAACTGTGGTTGTTGTTCTTGTCAAACTAGGTTGTTTGTCATACTTTATGTAAAGGCGTTTGGCTACTAAACATTTTGTGACCAAATTGGGCTGCTGTACATTTTTAGAAAGATTGATTGATTTGATTGCTTTACAATGTACCTATGAAATCAAATTTGTTACACTCCTTTTATGAAACAGTTTGGTTCCTGGCTATTTTGAAACAGTTTCTTTGCTGTACTTTCTGTAAACATGCTTGACTTGCCTGTTTGTTTTGTGAACACCTATAATTGCTATACTTTTTGTAGACAAATTCTTATCTCTTTTTTTCTTTTTGGAGGCTGTAAGTAATGAGCTGAAGAGAAGCGATAACTGATCTATCAGAATCGGGAGGGATTTTGCTTTCCCTTGAAAGAAGCCGCTGTAATTTAGAAAGCCTCACATGCAATTTTTTGCTTGATTACTGCACAAGTTCACTATGGAAATATATAATTGCTGCATACGAAGATTCTGAATTGATTTGCGACAATCTATTGCTTACTAAAGTGACAAACTCCCTCAGGAGTTGGTTGCTGCGGTTCAGAGAGTATACGCAGAACTTCTGGTAGACAATTCTTTAGTAGGTCGAGTGCTTGTGTTTATTCCTCTGGTACTTAGGACAGGTTATAGAGGGCCACGTATTCGTTTTAAGTTGTTAACAAATTATATGTGTTTCCAGAACGAGTCGAAGGTAACGCCACGCAGCATGCTTTACAAGTCTTATGAAAGATGTCATTTTCAACCAATCACAACATTTGTTAGACTACATCACATGATTTGATTGGTCAATACATTTACAAAGCAAATAATCCTTCGTGAACAATATAATACAGTTGAATCTGTGAAAAAGTTCGTTTTTTCCGCCTCTATTGGAGGAAAAGCAGGGTTGAATGAAATGTTTAGGTCACAGAAACTTTCATATGTTAATTAGAAAGTAGTTGTTCCCCAGTAGAGGAAGGACGCTTCTCAAATTACTTAATTTTGACTCTTCAACTTCTCTAATTAATCGCTTATGGTAACAGTGGCCTCCGGAAAAAACTCCATGTTTATCTAAGGTTTATAACCTATTTCTCCGCATTTTCCTGAGCCAAAAAGGTTGCCACACTTGTCAAAATGCCCATCAAAATATTTGAAACTTTCCCACCATTTTCGTCACGATTAAAGTCTCTGTTAAAGCTCGTTCTTACAACTATATAGTGCTCTCGTTATTTCAAAACTTTATTGTTGTTTGTTCAAATGGTACTCTGATGGCTGTACTGAAAAGAAATTGTGGGACTGTTTCATCATATTCTCATTGCTAAGAGGTTGTGCAAATCTGTTGAGCTTACAAGGCTTTATTAATCATATCTGTTGATGAAAATTTATCTTCGTTTTGTAACAATGAACAGTTTTCTAAGTGACTCACCTTTTGTGTGATTTTCTGTTGATAAGAGAACCTCAAGGTTCGATCAATCTTCTCGCAAGTCGTACCGTCTTTTGTGTCTTTGCTTCGTTTGGACGTCCTCTTTCTCTTCACTACTTTCTCAGGATATCTCAGTTTAAAGTCCCCGTGAACTTTTCTTCGCCTTGTACAGACTACTTGGTACCTTTTGGTTCTCACATGCTGTCCCAGTTGAGTCATATTCTTTTGGCGAAGTGGTTTGGCCTCTGAATAAGGTTTCTCTGCGAGATAGATTGAGGTAATTTCAACAACAGTGAACCAGGATGATAACCCAGAAACAAGCGTCCTTTCAAACTCGTTACTTAAGTTAAGCTAATCCGATATGTAAGAAAGTTCACAGGATATTTACCACGTTGCAGCTTACTCCAAGCAGCTACACAGAATATTCCTTTCGCACAGTTCAACTGAACCTGCACATTAAAAAGCTGTTGGGTTTTAAAGGAAGTGTAGTAATAACGTTACCGACTAGCAATTTCCTTTCAAATTCAAAAGACAAAGCACGGGAAGTTCAAAATGATATGCATTGAACTTTCTACAGGCTGTCACTATAGGTGTCATCACGTACGATCGAAATACCCTATGGGTAAACTTACTATTCAAGCGATCACAAAGCGACTTGAATTCGCTGGCGAGGAAAATAGCGGGTCATAAAGCTCTTGCAAAATACTACTTTCCATATCTTTTTTCCTTTCTTTTTATCACATTAGAGAGTTAATTGAACAATGCAATTTGCAAGGCGTATTTGGTTTTCCTCAGGCTTAAGAACTTCTAGAAAGATCGAGACGGAATTGCGCTTTAAGAATTAAATTAAAATTACCTCTATCGTGATTTCATCAGCTCCTCTTGCAGAAACTGCTTTGAATGACTCAGTGTCTCCCCCAAACTGATAGTATTTGGACCAAATGTCGTATTTCACCACTTCCTTGGATCGCCAGTCTGTTTTGTTCAACGGAAGTTCAAAATATTCTTCGATGCAGAGTTTATTTGTTTGGATTGTAACCAGAGCCTAGCCAGATTAGAACTGAGCCAATTTGCATACGTCAAAAAAAATTTTAAAACAACTAGAAACATTTGGTTCTTTACAAACATATATTTTTTCATAACTCAGGGTTAGAATCGAATTTCGAATGGCTATAGAAGAAAAACAGAGACTAGAAGTCTCTGGATAAATTCCTTGCGTGTAAGCTCAATTCCCAGGGTCAATTAAAGTTTACATGAAGATGCAGCACAGTGAAATCGCTTCTCAAAATGTGCTTCTAAAAAGTGTTCGACATAGTTTGATATCACCAGTTATAGGAACAAAGGAGCCAGTCAAGTCTAAAGTATAATATTAGTTTTCCTGCAGTAAGTTGTTTTGCTCGTGCGCTCACGCACGTCCTCCTGAGGAAGTAGGAAGTTGAACCTTCGATGGAACGTTGCCAGTCGCACTTTGTTATTACTCTACGTATTCCACTTCAAATCTAAAGGATTCTCACCTTATGTGGAAAATCATTCGATGATGCTTTAGGGGATGTAAGCTGTGCTAAAAAAATATTGCAGTATGACTAAAAGGCTTGATAATGTTGGTTCGTGATTTGTAAGGCGTTTATCAACGTTTAGATGATTGAAAAAAACATCTCAGTCGAGTCGACCTTGAAATCCCATAATGAATGTTAATTTCGGTGGACATAACAAAGCAGATCAAACAGGATCATTCGATTTTAAGGGCGTGGAATAATATTACATTATCATCGATGTATAAAGAAAGGAATCTATTAAAAGTTGCGGGTTTGAGACAAACTCACGTGAGGATATCGAACGACGCGTGGGATCGACACATTAACGCGCAATAGGGACGATTGACTCGCAATGTCATGCATTTATACCGAATTTTTCGGATTGTAGGGCAGACATCTTGGTGTAACAACCTTTAAAACTGGGGGATATAAAATATGGAATTAGGACAATAAACTCTGAGCCATGTCTGTTGCATCTTAATTCTCTGTACTAGTTAACAGGTGATTGTAAAAAACCCACGCACTTCTCGCAAAGAGTAGGAGAAGTGGCTCCCACTGCTATGGTCTAACCTAGTTTCCAAAATTTAAGGCACCCGCAAAGGAAAAAAAAACATTAAGGAATGAAACTCGTTCGTAAGTTGTTTGGTCACGTCGTTCCTGGCGCTCACCGGAAGTACTACTATAAATAAAGACTGTGGTTTTACCCTGAGATGGACCAACAGGTTTTCTTCAAACATTCTTATGAGACTCTTATCACGCTACAAACGACTATATTTATCTTAAGAACCCACCGGCTCTCTGATATTCTCCAGCAATAACAACTCTGGGAATAATATCCAATTAAAAAATTTATTTTAAAATTCAAGCAAATTGTGCTCGCTCATCAATATCCGAGGAAGTTTCAAAAGCACTGTGTTCCGTCTGATTGTTACTGGGTAAAATAATTTGATAAAGCGGAAGACAGGATTGAAAGCTTATGGATTTTGAAAAGACAAATGAGATTGACGCTTTGATATCATAAGTGTATCGCGCTGTACTGATGGCGTCTTACGCGTCGTTGGACAAATAAATCAATGACGTAATTTAGCGATAAACTAATAAATGCTATGAGGTCATTTTCACAAACGGGAACACGTCTGTTTGTCCGTCTATGTCACTGACATGCGGCATAGCTAATCAAGTGTTAGATTTACATAATAATCAATTTGTTTTTTCTCTCGTGTCAAAGTATTGAATTTGACTCTAATCAATCTATATCCAAAGATTCGAAACATTTCATTCAGTATTGCTGGACTTGATATAAGGAGAAGACGAAAGCGTTCTTGTCACTCAATGAAGTAGAGTTTCATGGAGGTGCAACTCTATTTCGACGTCAAGGTCAATTGACTCGAATCCCGTTAAGACGTTTTTCAGTTCAAGCTAGCGAGTGTTTTCGGTCAGTCTTGAAAAAGATAATTTTGGTTTTATGAAGTGGGTTGATAATTTAAATTGGCCAACGTAAAGAGTACCAAAGGTGATGTTTCGAGCGTTAGCCTTCGTCATTCGCTCTGACGAAGGGCTAACGTTCGGAAACCCTTTACGGTGGCCAGTTTACATTATAAACTCAGTTGATAAACCCAAAATGATCTTGTTATACTCCCCAACCGACGCAGCACCACAGTTTCTTCTGGAACAACCCCCTTTATTCACCAATCCAGAAAACGGTTGCCTTGGAAAGGGTATTAGTAAAGTTTTGTAACCCCTATGTAACGAATCCTCGTATAACGTACGTCTGGAATGATGAACTGCCCATATTAATCAAAATAAATAAGGTATCGCACAGGAGTTCGATTCAACATGCCGAAGTTACGTTGGAGCGTATGGTTTTTATGTCTAAAAAACTACCACAGGCTACAGATGTTTTGGTGTTTATCTGGTTTATCAAAGAATGCACAAAGTTGATCTTTAATAGAGCCATCCATGCAGTAATGAAAGATATGTCGCGTGTTTATTTTGCCGTGAAATTCTCGCGACCTTTTCCGAACCCATAATTGCGCACTTCAGATTCCTGTGGCTGAGGTCAGGAAGGGTTGGACCATTTGGGTGCGTAAGACAAATCTTTTTTTGCGAATGTACAAAATAAATGATCGGGACAACGAAACTAAGTAAAGGAAACAAATTTCGATATTGCCAAAATTTCCAGTAAATTCACTTGTATAAATATTTTTATCAAATATCATAAACATTTCATGTATTTCACCAGCTAGTTCTGAACTTGAATAATTCACGTTATTTTAGGTGATCCATCAATGGTTTTCGTTGAATACAGTAATTGCAATGAAGATGCTAATATTTGGATGACTACTTATAAAAAATTATCTCAGGTCATACAAAGCAATATAATCTTGACGAAAAGTCGGACCCACGAGGCCTTTCATGAAGATAGCTCTTAGACAAATACATACAGCTAAAACCTGTTCCCGTTTGTCTCATCCGTTAGGCCGTTTTGACAATTTTTGGAATAGTGCTCGCTTGAATGGGGGACCTGATGTAAAAATAGAACAGTTGACGTATATTTAGAACTTGTTAAGATTCTTAATCGATGTACGTGCTAGAATTTTTGGCTACAGAGAGTCTCCACGCCCAGGGACAAGTTTCAAGACGGATAACATTTGCGAAGGAGAGTAAACTGTGAAATCAGTTGCACTTTGGAATCCTGTCGTGTTTGGTATTTAAAACGATGTATGTATGCAAGAATTATTAGCTCAAGAGTCTCCGTGCACGAGAAAAGTCCTAAAACGGATAACATTTGCGACTTAGGGATACTTGTGGGATATGTTTCAGTTCGGCCGTCACGTTTGATATTTCAAATAGATAATAGCGATTTTAATAACAGTCAGTTATCGGCGGTCTACCGCCGCTTACAAGTCATTATAGGGCCTCTTTCACTACCGTTTATTAATAGTATTTTTGTGACTTGTGTGGCCCCTTTTGCAGTCACAGCCGATTGATCTTCCATCTACATCCACGAATAAAAATATTCAAAGAAAGCTATGAAATATGAAAACAAGATTTAAAGACATGGTCAGAACATGGTCAGGTCGAATATCGGAATGCCTTGAGGAAACGGCTCTCGTGTTTCGCTTCGCCAGCAACTCGACAAATCAATTACTAAGTTTTAAAAGGTTTTCTTGAAGATGGTCTCTCGGAACAGCTTAGCTTCTGTTAACATAAACAGCGCTACAGAGTAATCGATTGATTGAGTAGTTTCCTCACTTAAAAATATTTTAAAGATTCTGACTTTGAAAGAAAAGTAAATAAAGTTCTTACGAGATCGTAAGTCATTAGTAATTGACAACACGAAGAAAACTTGCAAATTTACTTTAATAACTACGGATTTAAGAATTATTCCTCTAACAGACGTCCGCAATCATCCCCGAGAAAAGAAAACGAAAGACAAAAACATTAATAAAACCACTTGCGGCTTCCGATCTGCTATTTTCGATGTTCACATAAGAGGAAGAACGTATTTTGATTCTTGCATATTGACCTTCTCCCGTCACCGCAAAGGCTCGCTAATCAATGTGTACAATCATGATCAATCATCAACATTTCGTACCACACTGATTAGCGGAAGATGAAAATTGTCTTCAAAGGAAGTAGTTCCATACTTGGTTTTAATAAGCTCTTTATAAAAGTAAAGAAATAACCCGCCCTCGCACTTGAGCTGCGATTAAAGAAAGTGAAGAAACGATCTAAAAGAGTGGATAAATTCAGGCTTCGACGATATTCGAACACATGCCTCCCAGATACTACATGAGGTTGGACACTCGAACCAACTGAGTTTCGCGGTCAACTTTTGGTAGCAAGACAAGGTCTAGAAGGTGTCCTTTCTCGTAAAGGAATCTCATAATCACTGATCACAATAAAAGAAATAAATCATGATTTTGACTTGTGGTTGATAATTTGCATTCGTTGAAGGATAACAGAAGGAGAATCAAAACAGAGCGATGTTGTCAGCGGCAGAACCATGAAAATTACTCTTGATTTTTCGGCTTATTTTATCAGATAGCTGATACGTCGTACCCATATTATGACACTAGGTTTTATCCCCCCTACTGACTTTTTAGTCATAACTCTTTTCAATATCGAGTCTGTCATAACATCCTAATCTCCTTGCTTCCTTCCCTCCATTTCGGCTCGTATTCTCTCTCACTTTTCCTCCCTCAGAATTGCGAATTTGATCCCACTTTTCTGACAGGAACTGAAATGAACGTAAAAGCTAGCAAACTCTTCAAAGCTTTTAGAATATCAGGTCTAAAACTTAACAGTTAACAGTGTTAATTATAACGACTTGATGAAGAACTCAAGTTGAACAATTCCTCTTACACTAGGTGCACTTATAAATTTATATAAAGTATAGTTGATTACTTGGGAAGTTATGATACAAATGTGTTCCCCAACCGATGAGAAATGAAGTGCACTGAACCGTTCAATGCACGTCATAGGGTATTGTACTATTACACAAATCAACACCCTTTCATCAAGATTTTCATCGAGGCTCATCCCTCCATCTTTTCATGTGCTCTGACCTTTGGCGAACTGACATCAGCAATCGGACTTCATGTGAGGCGTCAACTGATCAAGATTTTACCATGGCTGACATTGTGCACACGCAGAGCGAGCTGTTTCCGTAGATGTTGTGGATGATGTTGGTTGTTTAAGATAGAGATTTTACACCGGCTCAATTTTTTCAATGCATGAGATTGGAAGTATATTGAAATAACATTCTGCCCCGGATTTTTTTAGTTGCTCTGAAATCGGGTGATCATACGCTATCGCTTTGGTGGGTGAAGTAAGCGTTGAGACCAGGAGATGATACAGGAAACAATAAAATTGTGTTTCAAAAGCAGTTTTTCATACAACCTTCCTTTTATTTACATACAACATTATATACACATTTCAAGTAAGTTTATTGTCTATGTACAAAGAAATGTTTACTACGGTAGCTATGGTTTGTCCTCTTGCCTTCACTCTTTGTTGATACAAGAGAGAAGGGCCGTGGCACCGAGTTTCTACTCGAATAACAGAATCTGGGAGAGCTTTCCAGCACAATATGTCTTTACATGGTTCGCTGAATAACTGAAACTGGTATTGACGTATTAAAAGGTGTTGGCTGAATTGGTTTAAAACCTAATGGAAGTGACGTCAACGGATCCATGACCGGAACCATAATCCTGCTTCTGCCAATGAGGATTGCTGATGGTTTAAGAAGCGAGGAGCCTTGATACCACAACATCGGCCGAGTAGGCACGGGAACAACTGGCCATGACCAATCTTTACTGAGTGGGGTAATAACGGGGCTAATGGGACTTGTTGGACTTGGTGGAAGGAAAGCTGAAGGTACAGGCGATGGCACAGTGACTGTCTGAGGAGATGGTGCTTGATGTTGTTCTTCGGTGTTGCTTTTATTTATCTTCTTTAATTGATGTTGAGATCTTGTTACACCAGGCTCGTATCGATATGGAAGTTTGTTAAACTTGTACACGAGCCTTTGACCACGGACCTGAGAAAGTTAAAGAAATAACTGATCAGTAACGCGCCTCAAGAGAATCATTTCTCTTTCTAAGATCCCCAACCACTAACTATTTTAACAACTATTCTGTTATCTCTCAACGAGTAAAGTGAAGTTATCATTCAATTTTTTGTGTGTTTAACCTGTCTATTAAGCCTGTTACGTCTGAAATCATGATCAATTATTTCAAGTCCTCATTCATGCGTCAAAATGACGTTAGTGTCTTTCTATCATTAACATTAATTTGGGCACGAGAGAGTACACCCCCTCAATGTAACGAGCAGATAACGATTTTTACTCATAAACTTTAAGACATATAATAATAAAAGAATGAACTGTCTATTGAGGAGAAAAGTATGATTGGCGAGAAGACAGACTTCATAATTTTTTTTTACAAGAGTGACATTATCTTTGCTCAACTTCGAAAAAATTCACAAATTTTTTTCTGACCAAAAAGAAGGCAAAAGTGAAAGTTTCGCTCAGCTTAAGACAAGTGAGGCTTTAATTATCAGGAGAATATTCGCTGAAGACATTCAAATTATTTGAAACCTTCAGATACTAGTCAAAAGCAAGCGACAATCCAATATTTTGAAACACTATTTTTAGCCAACACATGGGACAAAAGTGTTTTTTCCTGTTTGAATGTGGGGGCGATTTTGTCAAAGCAATTAACCTTGCTAAAGAATTTTCGAACAACTTTAAAGCTAACCTGATCGCAAGCTTTGAAAGAAATTTAGAGTTCACTCTTTTTCTGCCATTGTTTTGATTACAGCGAATAAAATCTTTGACACCTTGTCAATTTCTTGAGTATTTACGTCATCCTAACATTTATGTTCCCACGTTCTTTCCGAGCTTAAGGCAATCTCTACTGATTAATGCTTGAAGTTAGCATCCACTTTTTATTGTATGGGTTTTTTTTTTTTACCAATTTCTCGAGTCTTGTTATTCTTAATAAGTCAAGACATACATACTGTTTTCTCTGGCGACCCGTGTATAACAAGCGCTTCAAAGTTTGAAAAATCACATGTAACACTAAGATAAAACAAAATCTGCTTGGGATCCCTTAACTCACCTTTTTGATAATTCCTTGTTGATAGTAGTATCTCAAAGCTCGACTGAGTTTTTCATAGTTCATTCCTGTCTTCCCTTTTAAGCGTCCCCATCTTTTAGCAACCTCGTGAGGGTTGTTCAACCTGAACTCCCTGTGGTCTTTTCTACTCCAGCAAATGATCCCTTTGCAGCCATCGCTCGCCAACAGCTCCAATAGAAACTCCCACAAGTGGACTATGTTTTTGTAACGAGGTTCTCTTGCGACTGAGGTCATTTCGGACTTCTGAAGATCTACTTGGTTCAAACATTCTTCGGTAAAGGTTTCAGGTTGTTTCTGCATTGAGTGATCAACTGTTTGCAATGAAATGAAAGGAAGGGAACGTTAAACTGAGCTCATCATATAGTCAATACAATAGTTCATTGCATTTGTCCATAAAGACCGACGTAATCACATTTTCTCTATATGAGCAGTTAAAGGCAATTTGATATGGCTGATGCATCTTGGAAAATTTAGCTACTCTTTTGCAACTTAAAGTACGTCTTTATCTCTGCCATCTCTTCACTGCTCGTCGCTTTCAGTTCACCTCTCGCAACGTAACTACTTTTGCACGTAGATTAGACAAAGGTTTTATAAAAGTTTCGTTCTGTGCAAAGTTGTTTCTCTTTAACGCCCAGAATAGATGGAAATATTATAATTCACTCGCTCAATTTTACATGGATTAGGAATTGTTTGCTAATAGTTGAAATGTGTTATTTTCAATTTGTGCAGCAACTCTGTTAGTTCTTGATTAGAAACTAAGAGATCTGCGTGATTTCGAACCTGTACCCCGGGATTTTTATGAAGTGCATAAGCTACGATATCCAAGCCTGCAGCAAACGAAATTTAAAACAAAATATGTTTTACCATGGCTTTCACGCTCCATTGTCGACATATTCATTCGTTCGTAATGGTTTCTCCTCAACTTTTAACCAGCTTTGCTTATGATGAGTTATGGGATGAGTTTCTCCTTGTTTCAACCTCAAATTGGCTGTGTTCGACTGTTTGATCAAGCATCAATACAGGCTTATTTATAACAGAATTTGGAGCGACAGGAAGTGCTTAAATTAGTCATTTGCTATTCACTTTCAATTTGCGTAAAAGCATACGTGAGGTGAGTGAAGGTCACGCAATTACGCACATCTCTTCTGGTTACATAACAAAACACTTCAAAGGCCTCGCGTCTAAAACAAGGTTCCTATGAATTTTGCAAATGTTAAAAATACAATTTTTAAGCCTCTGGGCTACATCGCTCGACGATTTAACTGGCCCGAAACATAAATTGAACCTGCCGACTACGTAATGTGCGAGAAAAATTTTTTACAAAACCATTAATGTTTGAGCTCGTTGTGAGAAGGCAGCTAAGGCTTGCTCGAGATTAAAATTGTCTCAGAGAGCTTGAAAAAGCTCACGAACACGGATTCAAGGCTTGCAGTGTATATAAGTTGGAATGATAGGTTAAACTCATGTATCGCTCGCGTGATCAGCTCACGTTGCGATGAATGGTTTCAAAGAGAATGATTTACTTTCTTTAGAATAAAGAAATATTCGTCCACTCGGATATTTAGCAGTTTATTCGACTAGTGTAAAAAAATATTCTTAATTTTCAGACCGACAAAACGGAGATGGTGATCTCATTTGCTTTGTTTTGTCGTTTTATATCGTTGCGTGACCAATAAAGGAACTTCAAACTCTAGACACCGGAAACAGGAACAACTCTATTTTCAAATGTCTTCCGGGCTTTGAAATAATATAATATTACAGCTTGTAAATTGAAGCATGCTCAAAATTAAACAAACAACATTTTAAAGGAATTTAGAACTTAAGAAAGAATTTAGGACTTAAGAGCGCAGAATGTGTGTTTCATTCTCTTTTTTCGTGTCCAATGGTGAACCACTCTACGTTTGGTGCAACTCAGTCACGTCACGCCATTTATGCTTGACTGTTTTGATACTGTCGTCAAAAATGCTCGATCCCATTTAGCCCTATCCCACCCACGCAAATTCCTGGCTGAGAAAAAGACAGCAATTCGGACAGGTTCCATTACTTTTTCGATGATGTGGAGCTTAAAATAATTCAGCGCAAATTATGAACTTCTATTTCTACACGATCCACAGAATCAAATTGTTTCCGAGAACATTTCATATCTAGACATGCGTCATGGACGACTGCGTACGATAGCAGTAGGTTAAGTTCTGAAGAAAGTTATGAAGGCTCAATGGCTCTATTGGAACAGTTTATTACATTTCCACTCCCGGTCAGACTTTTTGCAGCTCACATGCGGGAAGTCACGGTCTCTGTCAACGTTTAGGGAAGTGAGTGACATACGGAACTTTTTGTTTTGACGGGGGCTCGTCATGACAGCACACATTATCTTATTAACCTGAGTGACGAAGTGTTTATTGTGTATTGCGTAAAATCGGTCTTGGACAGGGGGCCGTTATGGTAACTACAAACATTATTGCAGATGGCAAAGTGACGTAAGGAAACAAGAATTATTAAAGTTGCCGGGTTATTAGAAATTCTGCATATAGTCTGGAGATTTGTGATTTATGTCGATTGCGTGTTCCTAAATCTAGGCTTGTATTCCAGCATTGCTTTTGAATCAGATCAAAATAGCCTTCTTAGCTCAAGCCTTAAGTTTTACGAACGAATTCACTAAAACAACGGGAATCTTCTCTGTGTACACATGAGTAAATTAAAAAACTTGGGAAAGCGTTTAATATGACGCTCATTGTGAAGTCTTAGTGAACACTTGCGGTCGGTTTTCTTTGACATTCCAAAGAAATAATCAACAATACCTGATTCATGCGTAATAGACAATCTGTTCAAATTCTAGAACACATGTTAGGCTAAAAAAATGCGTTACCTCATCAAGTGAAAGCACTCAGCAGGAAATGCATGACCTTCGATTGAACGAATTAACAACTAAACAAAACGCTACTTCCTGTTCCGCACGGCAACTGACGAGCAACTTCCAGGAGAAGTTAGCCAAAAAATGAATGAAGAATATCCTTGATGATATCTCCATGTAGACGGGAACATTTAATCAGTTGAGTAAGTTTACACTGCAGGACACATTCTCTCCGTAAGTTAACTCAACATCCCAAGATATGATGTGGTAATCATTGCGCAATGAATGTATGTTTATAACGTAGCCATTGCACTTTTTTCTGTGGGGGCGGTGGCACAGCTAGGAAATATTTAGAAATCTAAATGTATGCAAGCTAACTAGGCGCACCGATTGAGCCGGATAATGCAACATAGTCATAATAGGTAAGTCTTTAGACTTAGTTAAGCTGTATATAATCACAATGTTGAGGCAAATGGTTCTTGCCTTTTCGCTATGGAAACTTGACTTGCGGTGTTCATCAAATTAGTGCGATGAGCTGCTTGACCCGTTCTTTGCATAATAAACTCAGACAGCTTGGAATAGTTGGAAATGCATGAAATTTGACAGATTAAAGTGCTCTCGGAGATAGCTTGTTCATATTTAAGTCGGCCTTTTAGCTGCAGGGACTTGTGATCAATCGTTAATGATACGAGAGCAAAGGCTCCTACATCTCTTAGCTGATACGTATACTTCACAAACCAAATTGTATAATCTCGCCCGTTCTTTGAACGAAAAATTTAGACCTTATAGCGGACTCGTCTTTCTTTGTTTCATTACGAAGCTTTCGATATAGCTGATAGTGGCTGTCTACGGCAAGGTGTTCAATATGAATTTGGTTAAGGCCAGGCCCACTATAAACTTCTCTCTCTGTAGCTACACCTTGTATCTGGAGTATCTGGGGTACGGAATCTGGCAGGTCAGTGTATCAAAAGACAACACGATAAAATTAAGAAAGTATTTGCAAGACTTAGACTAGAAATTATTATTTTACAGCCATCGTCTGTAAAATTTAAATTCTATGGCATCTCTTTGACTCAATCCGCTTGACCGGGTCTGTGTGAAGAAACTGTGAGATAAACTGTGTGAAGCAGGCTACCCTTTAGTGTAATACAAACTAGAATTCAATACGGCCGCTATTTACTTTTCGTTTTTAAATTCTGTCTTATAGTATGACTGCCGGTGCTCCTTCCGGCCGAAATACTGTTATTCCTGTTTTGTTGTTCTCATTATCTTTAAACGCATGGTATCTTTCCTTTCAAGGCAAATTTCTGAATCTAGATCAGTAATCAAGACTAAGCAACAGATTTTATCAATTTGCCGGTTTCATATACGAGTGTGAAACTGACAGGTGGTTTGTTATTGAACAAACTACGCTTCAACAAGGGAGCGAACAGCGATGAAGATCGGTAGATTATCGTAAGGTATGAGCTAAACCCTGAGTAACGCTGGGAATACTTAGAGAGGTCAAATGAAAATTTAGGGTCATATCTTCTCCTGGTTGTTTTTTATTTTGAAGCCGACGCTACCTTCTGGAATGAACAATTTCGTCAGAGATAAAATGGGAGAACCTTTGAAATTTTAGTCATGTTTGCCGTAGCTCGTGCAATCTGTCATGTTTCTGACCCTTTGACACTGTCTTAGTTAGTCTCTGTATAATCGTTTTTTTCCACTGGATCAACACGTCCGCTATAGTCAACGCCTCCGGAGGAGGAGGAGGAGGCGTTTACTATATAAGGACGTGTTTTTGGTTAGCCTAAAGGAAAAGTTTATTCACCACGAGACACTCATAAAAAGCAAGTTCAACTTTGGTTTTTTTTTTCCTCAGAGGGCTCGGTAACGAATCTACAATCTGATTGGTTCTTAGCGCGGTCCGTATTTTCCTATCTCTGCCCACGGGCACAGTAAGGCTTTCTTGAGTCGCTGAGTACATCCCTACTTTCGTTGCCATTTTTCATAAATATATCTCGTTTTTCCGGCTGAGTAGTATTTTTAAGCAAAGAAGTCGGTCTCTGCCTCAAGCCGAAGTATAATTTATTAATGCTCTCTTTTCTCAAATCACTTTGGTTGACAGAAAAATATTGGTTTCGAAATTAATTTGTGTAAGCAAGTATCATTAAATTGATTGACAAGCGGCTTATAACCGTCTGTAAATAACAATCCTTCACCAAAAGTACCTAGAAAGTTAACATGAGAGGTATTTCGTTACAACTGAATTAACCGATGGAACTTTTATCCATTTCATATCTAAATTCTCTAAGACAATTTTTTTTCGTAGTGAACGGGCGAGCGAAGTTTTCAGTTCTACTTCAAAGACGCTTTCGGTGAGTCTTTCCAAGTCCGTTCTATTTGGACGTTTGTACCGTAAATTGCACAACAGAAATTGAAGGAATTCAATGAGAAAAAGCCGCATTAAAATCCCCTCGTGTTTAGTTGAACAAACTAAATTTGCATTCGCCATTGCAACTTCAAAATAAAAAATTTGATTATAAAATTACTTTCCTTGCTATTTACTTACTGAACAGAGGTAAATCTTCGTACATTAATAAATCTTCGATAAGAGTGAATGACACTATCCGTAAGATCATAGACTATTCTAGAAAAAAACATTGTCGTGACCATCCGTTGTTTTTTCAAAGATGCACATGCGTTTTTTTTTCTTGCGCGCTCTCTGATTGACAGGTGTCAGATTGTGACAGATACTTGTAACAATAATGCTTCAAAGTTCGTTTGGAAGCCTTTTCATTCACCTTTATCATTACGCAAATTAAAATGTTTTGGTGAGGCCACTCTCTTTAATTTGCATTGCTGCTATTTTAGCTACCATTTACAAGCTCAAAAATTGTTCATTTTATGGAAGATCTTGCTGTAATTACAGCCCTTTATCATTCAGGTTCTTTTGGAAAGAATTTCGTTAACTTTAAGAAAAATGTTATCCACTAGCCTGAGTCGGTCCGTATTGGGAAAAAATGTGCCCGCATTCTTAATAATTGCCCTCGGCATTTGGCCTCGAGCAGTACCCAAGACCTCGAGCGCAGTTTTTCTCAATACGAACCGACCTAGGCTGGTGGATAACATTTTTATTTTTTTCTTAAACTTAAAACTTCATGACATATATATTACTCACTTCCATATTGCTCATTCGTAAGAAACAAATTCGTGACCGCAGCCATGCTAAACGCATCTGGGGTTTCATTTTTGTTGCTAAGAATATTTTAGGAGAAACACGATTCTCTACAAATGTTCCTTTTTCATACTGACAAAATATCGCCATATCAGTTACAAACGCCAGAAAAAAATTTCGGTTTCCACATGGTTGGAAAGTGATTAACGAGTCGAGATTTGATTCTGACAGCGAAATAGGTATTAAAAAGTTGCCGTGATTGAAAAATGAAACAGGTCATAACTTTTTGTTTAGAAGTTTAAATTTGCTATCAAGGTTGTGAATTCTGCTGATTATTTTAGCGCAAATCCAGAGCCGGAATATAGAGGTTAGAATTGAGAGAACATCACGTAGGCACCTGACTTTCTATTGCTAAAAATTTGATTAATTCTAAATTTAGAGATGGCAGTGACAGGAACCCTTCACCACGAGTATGAAAAGTTAGTGCAGTTTTGAATATTAGACCTAAGGAGTCTCACCACTATGATTTAGCAAATTCATGATTCCTAAAGTGTTTAATTCTTAGTGAGTCGCGTTCGGAAAATTAATCAAGCGTCACAATATCTCCAACAACCTTAAGAGCCAAACCCACCTGTATAAACGCAAGATTTGAGCCCTTCTATTGTTACAGCGGTATATTTACACGGCTTTCTTGTCCTATCAGCTGATGCTGCATTGAGCGGAGCTTCAAAAAATCCCTCTGAAGAAGAAGACGCAGTTTTAGTTTAATCGTGTCTGACATGGATTCCGAGAGCGGTGAACCACGCTACAAGAACATAGTTCACTTGTGGGAGTTTCTCTACGAATTGCTTGCCAGCGGGGACAAGTGCAGCTCAATCATAGCTTGGATCAGAGAGGAACACGGGGAGTTTAAGTTAAAGAACAAAGAAGAAGTCGCAAAGAGGTGGGGCGCGTACAAGAAAATAAAAGGAATGAACTACGAGAAACTCAGTCGAGCTCTTCGACATTACTATCCAAAAGGAATTATTAAAAAGGTAAGCGTTTTACACGAGACTGACCTTAATTTCTGTTTCATTGTTGCCCATCCATTTTTGTAAGGCGTGTATGGCAGTGATCGTAATTGAGTTATCTTGAATGTATTCATCGAATAAAGAAGAAATTTAGTCGAAGGCTAAGAGAACAAACATATGAAATTTTTATTAGGTGAAACCTCTTAACTTCGTAATAGGTGGTGAACCATTCTCCTGTTCACAACTCGGAAATAACGATCTCATTGAGAGCATGTGAAAAAAGTCCTCAGTAATTGTTTCCCCCCAAGTCTTTTCGTCCACTTTGTTTTAAGTTACCTTCCTATTGATAACGGACGCAATTACACAATTTCAAAACAAATTTATCAGAGTGAGGACATGAGGCTTATCGAAAACATCAATGCTTTCGGCAATGAATGCTTTTTTTTTCTCCGTCTAATTAGCATAATACAAGCATATACGATCAAGGAACTTTATTAGAAGGACTAAAGAATCGAAAGTGAAAGAAGAGATCACGTTCAAGTAAACAGTCATATCAGAATTGCAGATGCAAGCCAATGAATTTCGGTAGTTCCTTCTGAGCGAATGGATGATAAATTTCGCATTTCGATTGGCCGCGGTAACTCAGAGTTGAAAGCCACTATCATGCATCTTTGAGTGTAGGAATATGATTTTTCGACTAACTTCGATCACAATAAAGCAAAACAAAATTCAAAACAGGAAAAAAAAAGTAAGACTTTAATGTGCTCTCAACTGCTCCAGGTTGGAAAAAACTGCTTAAATAGGCGATGTTTATCTCACAAACGTCCTTCGAAAGAACATCGATCAATGTAATATGAAATCAATGAAACGTCTCGTTTACTTTCGAAAGTACGGGTGGGTGTGCGTCAGGTCAAGAGGGTTGAGTGTAAAGGAACAGCTTCCCGTCACATCTCCTGGACAGCAGCCATGTTCCCATTCGTTATCTCGCTGGGCGATTTATGGAAAGATCTTCATAGAATTTCTCTTATCTTTAACCTCATGGCGACAAACAGCCCAGACGACCGGAAAAACTATGGCATGTAGTATCCAAGGTGAAATAACAGTGTGATAAACCGCAGCCAGGACTCAGTCTTTTAGAAGCTCGACAGTTTTTTCAGGTTGCAGTTTTTTTTGGATGTGAGATAAGCATTTATCAATTCTGCTGTTGTTTCGTCGGAAACTCTCGTGGCCAATCAAGCAAGTATACGTTAAGTCTGTAATGTACAGGTTTTAAACATTCTTATTTTTTTTATTTTGTAGGTTGCAGGCCAGAGATTGGTGTACAAGTTTAACAAACTGCCATATAAGTATGAACCCGGTGTAACGAGATCTCTTTACCACGGGAGTAGAATCAAGGCTTGCATCCAAGAACCAACGAAATCTAAAGAAGCCGACCCCACCCCTCCCAAGACGAACACTAACACTTCACTGTCAGCTTTTACTCCAGTCCGAGGACATCCCAGAAAGAGCTGGTCTTGGCCGCTTCTTTCCACGCCAACGAACCCTTTCGTGTTGTACCCAGGTTCCACACCTAACACGCCTACAATATTTGACAGCTCTAAGACCATGATCGTATTCCCGTTTGGTCCCAGTCCACCTGTGCACCATCCATTACAGTTGCATTTGAAACGGGAACACGATAAACCTGTTGGTAAAATGATAACCTCTGAAGTTACTTCGATTCCGGTTTCGGTCATTCAGCGTGTCTAACGCACGCTAATACCGAGATTTAGGACACACTTCACAGCTTTTTTTTCCCTTAAAAAAAAAAAAAACAGAACTTAGACAAGATATTAGATTAGAGTATCTTGCCCTAAAGTTGCTTTACCTTATAACAGTTTATTCAATTACTTATCCTGCTTATATATTCATTTAGGCTCCTCCACTTTGACGTAGTCCCAACAATAGAAAAATTGCCGCTGAGTTTTCCAGCTCGATGGGATAACATCAAGCTGAAAAGAGAAAGTCATCATCTCAGATTATGCTTCCAATGCTTTAAGGCTGACCAATATTTTATTCCAAAAGCGCTAGCGTTAAAAAGGTAAATTTTCCCGTAAAAAAAGTATGTTTTTTGAAAAGATATAGAAAATATTTTAGATTTTGCGATAAAAAGTCTGAAGATGTATTTTTTTTTGTAAAATTTATTTTAATTTTGCAAGTTAAAATATATTTTTTTTAAACAATGATGTAAGATGGAAATAAATTGATATGTTTTTTGACGTATATCTGCAAGTTTTCCCCTTGAAAGGACGTTCCAGCGGCGAATAGATCTCTGATCTGAGTAACTCCTTTGCGGCCTAGAAGAAACCCCTGGCGTTACTGTCCAAAAATGATGCACGCACAGAAACTATTTGCTTTTTGCGTCCGCAGACAGAACTTCTTCTTGGGGTCAATTGTGGTTAAGTGCAAATCATTTATTTTACGATTCCTGGTGACCGGAACAACTTCTTCTGCGGTTGAGGTTTTAAAACGCGGGACCTTCTTTAACGGGTTCAACTTCTTCGCTGTGCTTTTCGCTAAGAGCTCGGAAACAGAATTAGAGTTGATGACAAAAGGCAAAAGTCTTTAACCTCTCACTGTTTTTAGCATTCTGATTTAAATTTGCTTTTAGGAAAAATCTATTGTATATATACTTTAAAATCCATGAGCCGTTGCTAAATAGCCTTTTATACCAAATTTACAATTATAATTAGCTTACACTGACACTCTTAGAAGAGCAACTTCCGCTTTTCGACATCCGCTTTCTGCTTTCGTTTTTTGTTTCTATCTCTTTCAAAAATTTTCCAAATATATACTTTTTTGTCCCAGTGTCTTTTTTTACCAAATAAAGCGTGTCTGTGTTAAACACGTCACCTTTTCTGTTTCTTGTGTTATATTTCACTCTCACAGCTCAAATATTCAGGCCTCGGTTGATAGAAGCAAAACTCGATCTCTCGTACCTAAAAACACAAAATTGTTGGTAACCAGCTTCTCTGGGCGTTATCCACCGTTCATAGATAAATAAAAAAGACAGTGGAAAGTTCAGTGTTCTTTATTACTTTAAACTTCCGCTAACCGGAGGTGAAGATCACGACCTCCCTTTATTTGATATGGTGAGATTTAACTCAAACTAAATACGACTAAATTTCCTTGAAGGACCCCAGAAATTGAGAGCTTTGTGTTAAACAATGCAACTGAGAAAATAACTATTGACCTTGTCTTGAAAACTTCTTCTTTTCTCCTTTTTTTTATCTCTCTTGGTTTTGGTTTGTTTTGTTTTTTTTTGTAATACTTAATCACAACCAATTGCGTGACGGAACAGAACTTTCTGGATTGTCACGCCTATTGTGATTTCAACCGGAAGATGCCGAGAGGAAGTAAATATAATTTTATATGATTGATAGAACTTCCCTTGCAGCTTTAGTCATGCTTAAAAAAAACCTCCAGGTGCAGCTATCATTACGAGTGAGACCCATGTAAAGTTAAAAGTCCTCCAGTGTTCTGTTGCATTTCAAATTGAAAGTGATCGAAGAAGGACGCACCTCTGACTGATTAACTCCCGCGCAATATGGCGTCGCAAACAGCAGGTAGATCATTCTTTTATTTTCTTGATTCTGTATTTTAAAATAAAATTATTCAGCCCAAGCCGTGGGTTTCTTATGCCTAAAATTTTAGATGTATCAATTAATTTTGAAAGGTTTTGTTCGGTTGCGTGAATAGTATTTTATCTTTGACTCGGCAATCATGGTATCGAGTACAACGCCTGACGAGCGACGAGTTGTCTAAAAATTATTATTTTGCGAACTGATCACCTAAGAACAACAAGCGAACTTACTTTCTACAAATGGAGATCCTTTTCGATGCTAAAAAAGTATCTTAAAACGATTAATGACAAAAAACAACTAGTTACTTTGAAACAGCTTTTCTCGGCAACTGGCTAGTGCGGCGTGGGTGCACGCGACTGTTTGATATTATATCATAATGACGAATGTCGGTAACCACAACAAAGAGAAGATATTTCTAGAATTTTGAACAGAAAGAGAGCTGTTGCTTCCAGTGAGTGTCATCTCCTCGTTTCGTTTAAAGTTAATTTGAAGTTTTAAAGGCTCACAAGAGACGACTGACAAAGAATCGCAAAGCCGTATCTTGAGTTAAGCGACGGAACAGTTCTCAGTCATCATTTATATAATTTGCTTGTTGAATCGTGTCACTCACGAGCAACACAATTTTTTTCTTTGAGCTGTGAACAGATAAGAGGCTAGAGCCTTTTATTTGGGAATCACATCGACACAAGTCAAAATAAAACTTGAATTTTTAGAGCATCACCCAAACGTAAGGAGAATGGTGCACTTTGCTGAGTTCAGCGAAGTGAGAGCCAACAATTCTAGTTTCAATCCAAATTTACAATGTTTTCTCGTGTATTTTTAAAGTAAATTACAATCATTACCAAAGATCTAATGGCCATTTTCTCAGAATTTAATGATCATTAATGCAAATCTAGTTTTCAAACTGAGGATTCTCGTCTGGTAAGACTCAAGAGTCCAAGCCGGCAATCCACAGGAAAAAAGTGTTAGTTCGCAGCTCGACTATCTTTACTGAAGTTTGTTCACTGTCAATGGGTGTGATCAATGGCTAATGAAAGAATATTATTCTGAGAAACTGAGGCGTTTGACCAAAGTTCCAAAACTCAGAGAGAAACAAAGAAAATTGAGACATTGTCAGTCTTGTGCACAAGTAACTGGAGGATAAGCCTCCAGAGACTTATTTATTGTAGATAGGAACTCTTTCCCAAGGAAACTGAAAGCATGACGAAGAACTCTTGCTTCAGTTCACATAGTGATTGTGCAGCCCTCGTGCGAAGAAAGATTTAGATATTTTGGTAGAGTTGAGAAGCATTTCATTTTTTGTCATCCATTATCCGTGTTTTTAGGAGGCTCGATTGTGCAATAAACAAAAGTGTAACTGTGGTGAAGAGTATTACTAGTTAAGTTTTGAAAAGCATCCATATGTTTCGTTGGATTATCCTTAATCATGTTATCATGTTTTAGGTTCTGTGTCCTAGAAAATATTCAAAGCTTAGAAAAGGCATTTACGAAGAGCTATATCCTCTTCTGTTGAGGAACAGCTGCAGCAAGAGCAAATGGGGTCTTAAGAAAGAAAAACGTTTGCAATAGGAGCAAATCTAAATAAGCTCACGTTTTCTTTATAAGTTTTAATAATTTTGTAGGGGCACACAATAACCAAATTTTTTCTTTAAGTTAATTAGAGAAAGCGTTTGGTGTTATGCAGGTCATCATGAGTTGAAAAGGTAAATATTGTTGTTATTGATCGAAGCGAACTGAGTTGTTTATCGATAAGAACTCTGTTTGAAGCACAATAATCGTTTGTCTCCTGCAATGAAGACACTCGCTGTGAAGATATTGATGATAATAATTGCTTTATAAACGAATAAAAGGCAATTTTTTTACAGCAATAACATAGTTATTTTCAAGTCTATCACTGATATCTACACAATAAGCTTATGAGTGTGCCATTTAACTCAATAATCTATTGAAACCCACTTTATCTGAAATACATGATTCGCCTACTGAGTCTAATAAATTTTCGGCGGAAATTCAAAGTTAGGTTCAACGCAAGCTTAACGACACATCTGTTGTAATTGGTTAACTTTTAGTTCCCTCCAACAGGTGTAAAACTGCGTCAATTGTCAGCTTAAGTCGTTGTAACCCTTTCATTTAAGCATATGGCTCTTAACTGTATGTTCAGGGCTTTTAGTGCAAACTTTTAAGTAGTTGGGTTGTCAGGAAACTAGTACCCTCTTTAACTGGAGAAAACGTGGTCAGCGTTTGCTTTGAAAGAACTTTGAGCTGCTCTCCGCCAAATTTCAAAGCAGATGGGATCTTACTTCCCATCTTTGACTACGGGGACGGAAGGACTTGGTTTTGAACTTTCACAGTTCTTTACTAAGGGCTCGTTATAGGGATAAATGTTACGTCAGCAGAAAGGGTTGTAGATGCTTTGTACTTTAGAACGTATTTAACTCAGTTTTAGTGTTTATTAAAAGCATCAAGATTTTATAAGTTGGTGTTACGATTCAAAAGGTGACAAATTGTTTGATGTTAAAACTGATAAGTCTTTCTCTCTCTTTCCTCTTTCACCAAACCACTGCTATGAAAGTAGAGACTACGGTGAAAGATTTAGGAATCGAGGTCATAAACAAATCAAACGATGGAGGTAGAAATCCAGAAGTTAAAAAATATCGTCGCAAGAACATTATCCACTTGTGGGAATTTTTGTTGGAGCTTCTCGCCAACGACAATTTGTGTACGATAATCTGCTGGAGTAGGAAGGAGTTCAAAGAGTTTCAGCTTAAAAGACCCGAGGAAGTGGCAAGAAGATGGGGTCTGCTAAGAAGAAGGAGGAAAGGAATGAATTATGAGAAACTTAGTAGGGCTTTGCGATTCTATTATGGTCAGGGAATAATTCAAAAGGTTAGTACTGTCGTCATGAAGTGTTTACTGATCGATGGATACACTTACTCTTAGCTAAGTAACCCAAAGTTTACTCACAGTTGACATGAAAAGCTTGCAAAAGCCATCTTACTAAAGAATTGAAGGTTGAAGGACTGGAAATGGTGAAGCCCAGGAAAATATACAGCCATAAATTATTCCTGGCTTAATCTAACTATAGTCCATGAAACGTGTGAAGAGATATTGCTCATAGAGGCGATTGTATTGTGTGTCATTGCTGTCTGTTTCGTAGTCGTGCATTGTATTACCAACCCAGTTTCCTGATGCTCAATTAGTTTGGTAAATGCAATACCCGTTGAAGTTTTAGATACAAAACTTATTCAGTTGTCGTAAGACTGAAGAATCTTACTGCTAAAAGTGCATTGTACATGGTGTCGGCCAGTTGGAGTGTTGCATGGTGTTTGGTAAAATTATAGTGCAATGACTCTATCATTGTAAAGAGATTTCCCACAGTGCTTCCTGTAATGTAATAATCTTGCTGTTTGCTACTAGAGTTCATGGATCGTATCTGGGTTAGCATGATGAACATTGTTTTTTTCATACCTTGCACAGTATATTTCGATCGTATATAATTACACTGAACGTGGTATGTCATAGCTATGGTACCATATGGTACTTGTTGTGAAGAATGGTACCCTTTTCCTAACCTACATGGGAAAATTGATTCAATCTTCCAATTTTTATGACTCACAGTACAAATGTACTTCACAAAGGTAACAGGTTAATGATGTATAAAATGAGCAATAACCCATGTGTCTAGCTTTTCCTATAGTATGGAGATTTTAAGATTTCTTTAAGGTTTTATGGCCTTTCCTGCGAACATGAAGGGTGCTCTGAATATCTTTCCAGTGCTATGTACTGGTCTATGCTAAATGGCGTTTGGTACTTGGTTAAATAGCGTTCAAGGGTTGTAACCTGTTATCAGAAAACACTGTACATGCAATTAATACCATTAATATCTATTATTCCATGTGTGTGGCCTTGGATTATGGTTACTTTTTATGGTATAGTACATTATATCTAATGCAAGGTGTGGTAACACTATATTCTACATTCACATTCTAAGCTGCTGTTCCAAGAGACTCCGGTGTACCTTATGCACTAAGGAGTAAGTAATACATTGTTACTAGTGTAAAGGTGTTTAATGAGGGTCTTATCTTGAGTGGTCTCACTCTCTTTGCTTTTATTGCGATGGGACACAGAACCAGTTCATAATGTCGACTGTAAGTTAATTTTGCGTGAAGATTGTTGAAGTATTTAGCAATAAACGCGTGCGTTTTTGTTTACTCTATGATTTTGTACCGTGTTATGGTACCCTCGAAAGTGTTCAGTCTTACGAGAGATCAACGAGGCGTGTTACACCTCAATCAACTGTTTAAGCAAAAGACGTTCGCTATTAATAACCGTTTTAACACTGATTGCTTGCTTGACTTAATGGGTAAGGATATTCCTCTGGTGCAAGTTTCTTCTTTAAAGTGGACCTCGTAAGTTTCTTTGTGACCTGAAGAGCGGAAACCGGCCATAAACGATATTCATTAAAACTGAAAAACTGCCGAAAACAGTTTTTTCAAACCAATATGAAACGATTTAGGCCGGGAAAAAGAGAACCGAATAAGAAACCGAAAAACTCATTTTTCCTTCTTCGCGTCATGTAAAATGACCAAAACCAAACACCCCAATGTTCCTTCCTTTACGTTAGGCATCTTGAATTCGGCGCGCATTTTTTTGTTTTTGTGACAACAGTCCTTCACGACAGCGGCCTTGCGTGGAACCCTAGTGCCCGTATTGAAAATAGTGCCGAAGGGGAGAGTCAGTGAGGCAGGTTGTCGAAAACAAGACTTTCATTTCTGGCTTTCCACTGATTTCGAGGAGTATCTGTTGCATATGATATAATTCACCCGGTCCAGTGGAACGAAAGGATTCAGCCAATGGCTTCAGCTGATGAAGTTGAAGTCTTACAGGTCTTTCAAATTAACTGAGTGAATTAGACTTTGATCGACGTCGATCGTGCACAGTTTCAAACGAATGCTCAAGGTAGCTAATACATGTAATGATCCTTACAATTTGGTAAACTGTATGAAGATGGACTCTAGCTAAAAGTAAACTTGTGAATTTGTGGTCAAGCTATTACAGTAACACAGAGGAATGGTTTTCACTCACTCGCTGATGCTATAGGTCGTTTGTGGCTATCTATTATTCACCTACCGATAATTTTATTTTCATATTCTCGTAGGTTCCCGGCCAGCGTTTTACGTACAAGTTCGACAAATTACCATACAGATACGATCCAGAAGTTTCACAATCATGGTATCAAGAACGAAAGAAAATATCATCTGATAAATCTACATCCTGTTTATCAGGACAATCATTACTCTCGTCTTCATTTAAGCAGTCAACACTTTCGCGTGCCAGGATCCCTTTGGGGAGTAGCATCTCTCCCTCTGTCATACCCAGTGCTGCTCGGTCGACAAAAGCAAGCCAAGTGACAACTCAACAACTTTCTCCCCAAATATGTATTACTTCAAATCTGAGTAAAATAAGATTGAAAGCTTCTGTTCCTTTACTCTTTCCAAAGCAAGATCTTCTGAATTGTCCAACTAAGTCTATTCCTGTGTCAGTGATTAAGCGAATTGCCTCCAATCCATAGCCAATAAATAAACTGTTGATTTTATCATTGGTTGCTTTTCTTGTGATATCTGAGACTCTCAACGATCAACTGGAAGCATTTCTAAAAGTTTCCACCAAAGGTAACATACACAAGGAAAACGAAGGGCTGACGCTCGAAACGCCAGCTTCAGAAACTCTCTATGAATGCAAATTCACATGATCAACTCAGTTGATAAAATCAAATTATCTTAATTGTTAAACCTCCCTCAGAATACAAAATAAAGAGACCATTAACTTCATCCACTCGTAATATGATACCATGGTTATAAGTTCTCTCCGCTTGAAGAAATATAGCATCAATCAAATTGAAGTCAAAATAATTTTAATTCCATTCAATATTTACATAGTTAATGATTGACAATTACCTTCCTGTTTTTTTATTATCATTATTATTATTATTGTTTTCATAGCTGCGACGGTATTTTCGAATATTCATATCCTCTGAAGAGGAACGTGGCTTAACAACCTTAGTTCTGCATTGTAAGGTGGATTAGGAACCCTTTAAGCCTTTACACAGCAGCTGAAAATTATTTTGTAAGACTTTCGCAGTTGTTATTCACTTTCAATAGCAATTTGGACAAAACAACATCCGGTTACCTGCTTCCGGCTTCCGGTCCTATTCATCACTTTCAATCGGCTCAAGATCTTCTCTCTCTTTCTCTGTTTTTTTTTCCTTTTACCACTAAGAAATGCAGGTACCTTGGATTTAAAGCCAGTTAATACTTGGGAAAAAGCAATATAATTTCTTCAACCTCAGAATTTCCCTTTCACTGCTCGTAGATCACCCAGAAATAAATTCTAAAAACAGAATCACTTTCCTTGTGCTTCAAAATATGTAGCTTTTTAGCATTTATGACGAATTGGATTGTCTAACAAGACGAAGTAGGTGGAAGAAGCAGAGGAAAGTTCAGTTTTCCTCAGGACAATGCACGATTGAAAAACGCCTTGAGGTGAAAATAACGACCTCCAAGACTGTGTAGATATTTCGGTTCAGAAAGTTTCCTAGTAAATAAATATTAATACCATAGCAAAAAAAAATTACATAATAATCATTTGAATTTGAACGACATAGTTGAAGAAAAGCCATCTTTTTATTTCCTATTTGTTTTATAGGCTAATGCGGGACAAAATGTTCTCGTCTGCTGTCACGCCGTGTTTGTTACAGGAAGTCCCTGGAAGGTACTAATACTGTCTAGCTTTGAGAGGAAGTATATTGTCTTTTATAGCACATAAAACTTCCGTTTTATACGTCATGTTTAAATAAAGCTGCAAGATGCAAATATCATTATATCTAACGAAACACGCAAAGCTGAAACTCCTGTCTGAGTCCTTTTCTTTTCCATGTGAAAGTAATTGGGAACGACACCCTCAGGGACTGTGTGGGATTAACTGAAATGGCGTCTACAACAGCAGGTAAAATTTTGCTTAAATTTGTTTATTCCTAATAAATACTTGGAGCAATAGCATGGAAAAATATCAATCGTTCTAGCTCTAGAATCCAAGTTTTCTTCGTGTGTTTGACTCTTTATATCGTGCAGAACGCCCAAAGATATTACAAATAACTTGCGAAAATTATTTTTATAAGAACGTAAAATGAATAAATACTGCATTCATATCCTTTTCAGTGATGATCAAGGATAACGATTTACGAGAAAAAAAGGTTTAAATAGCCTTTTCCAAAAACTTGCCACAAGTTTTGTGGATGGTGAGCATGACTGGTTAGTCATTCGTACCAAATTGTGGCATAAACAACCATGAAATACACTTGTTTTTAGACTTGTAAACAGATCAGCTTGTTTTTATTTTACACTCAGGGATTATAGGTGTGAATTTATACTGAATTTCAGGTTGAGAGATTCCCTTAGAAATACTAAGAATTGAGTTCATGGTCTTTGAGGCTAACGAACGACAGTTTTGTTGGTTGTTGTTCCATATTCGTGTGTTCCACTGGCCGTTTAACGTCGTTGTTTTATCTGACAGTTATACCCGCACAAGTTGTTAAAAATCAGTATGATCATGATAGCTGTACATTTTCGTCAATTTTAGATTGTTTCAGGTTCAACGCGAGTTTTGATTTCACAGTAATAAAACAATTTCTTTTATCTACCGGTAAAATTATTTGATATTATAGAAAGACTGCAGTTATCGATCAGTGATGCAGAAACGAAGGAAAGGGAATATTCTCTCTTGCCTCCAAAAGAATCATAAGAAGGCTTAATTTCATTGACAAGTGATCATTTGATGTATGAAAATTCTTTAGAAAACTCCAAATGAAACTAAAAGAGTGACTCATGTAAACACAGCTCGTTCATTTTCGATTTCAATGTTGATGCTTCATTTGTTAGGCTTTCCTTTAAAGAATTTCTTCGATCTACTTGCATGGCTATAAAGATGAGGGGCGATGTGTTTCGCTTCTCTTGTCTCACATGAAAGACCTCGAGTGAATCTCAAATGATGTTAGCGCTTTTTGACATCGATCCAGTTAATGCCTGGGAGAACAATATATAAGATGCTTCTTTAAAAAGTTGGCTTGCAAGAATGGACATGTAAGGGATGATTTTAAGCTAAGAGACATGGATTGTGTTGTGGTATTCATTCGACAGAAAAAAAGAATGCCGGTAAAATTCCCTACTCGAGGTCGTTATTTTATTTTTACTCCTCTCTCCTTCTCTCCAAATCACTGGTATTTGAACAGAGGCTACAGAATCATCTTTGGAAATCGAGTTGACCAAGAAATCAACTCGCAAAGATGGAACTAGAAATTCAGAAGGAAAAAAACGTCGGCGGGTGAACACCATCTACTTGTGGGAATTTTTACTGGATCTCCTGGCAAATGATGATTTACGCACTATAATATGCTGGAGTCGAAGAGAATTCAAAGAATTTAAACTGAAAAGACCCGAGGAGGTATCAAGAAGATGGGGTCTGGTTAAACGAAAGAAGGGAATGAATTATGAGAAACTCAGTCGAGCATTACGATTCTATTATGGCCAAGGAATCATTCAAAAGGTTGGTATAGTCATCAAGTATTGTTAGATGATAAATGTGCTAACTTGTTACTATAAACGATCAACTTAAAGCTTACCTACTGAGGGGAAACGGTTTCTTGTATATACCAAAACAAGCCACTGTAGACAGCATTGCTTGTTTGTGCATGATTCTCAAGTGTAATAGTGATTAGCATTTCTATCCTTTATTGTTGTTACTGACCTTTTTTTTATTATGATTGAAATATTTATACATTTATTTCAAAAACACACATCACCTATGGTATCAATGATACTTCCGTCCAGAATGCACAATACCAATTGTTACTTTTTATACTACAACATTGCTTACAATACTAGATTGGTGGTACCACCAACTCCAATACTAGAGTCAACCCTAACACTAACATTGCCTATTTAAAAAGGCACAATGAAGATGTCAACCATACATTCAATTAAGTTGCATATGATTTATTTATCATAAACAACCTTAAATGTCGAGATTACGTAAAATTTCTTCATGGAAAACATATTCTATTAATAATATATTTAACATTAATACAATATAATAATTATCTATTAAGACAAATTGCTGCCTGTTTCTTATTGAACCTAATTTCTTTGTAGTTCCTCGTAGAAATTTACATTTCCGTTTCAAATTTTCAAATTTCATTTTGATCTTAACCATAAGTTCAGTAAAACTTGAAAAAATTAAGAAAATCAATCCCACACACATAATATACATAATTTGGCTATCAATACGAGATAATTCCTTAATTCGCTTTTTTTGTTGTTGTTGATGGTTCAAGTAAGTAATGCGATGTTTGATTTTTTTTTAATTTTTATTTTTATTTTTTTCAATATATTATACTTACATATGTACTTACACTATACATACTTCTTACACGATGCTTACACTACGTTAACTTGCACTACTTACAATACATATATTACAATACAATTCCACTAATCAAATTGAATTACAGTTGATCTATTTGCGTTATTGTTTGCATGTTAATTGTTCCAGTCACTAATAAGAATTTTGTTTGTTAATTAAACTACATAGGGTATTAATTTTCTAGAATTTAATAGATTATTAAATAAATAGGTAGCGAAAAGAAACAAATCAAAATACAAAAGTTGAGAAGAAAAAGGACACAATACAATTTTATAAAGACAGAAAAAATTTCCATTTTTTCCTGAATTCCTTCTCCTTATTACAAGTGACTGCAATATATTATTCTAGATTAATTTTTTCGCCTACAAGTGATACAAAATCATCGAATTGGTACGTTATGGTATTAAAAGCGTTAACATGTAAGAAATATTTACCCAAAATAACGAGATGGTTGAGGGCTAAACAGTAGGTGTGACAGCGAATAATTCCGAACATAACCTCTAGTTCTGATGTTTAATTTTTGTACTTTATGACCTGTTGCACCTTTGTGATTTCTACCTATGTTTTAGCACAGGGCACATGGTGCATTATATTATATCATAGCTTTAAAGAATAGGAATATGGAATAACCAGAGAAGCCCTCCTCCAGCCAGATAATTGGTTTGGCGGGATACGGGATGCGGGATGCGGGATGCAGGATGCGGGATGCAAGTCTGTACCTTCCTCTATAACAATCCATATGATTGTACGTCTGGCTGATATATCTATACATTTTTTATTTTTTTATCTTTTTCATCTTCTCCAGATTCCTGGCCAACCTTTCACGTACAAGTTCGACAGGCTGCCTTACAAATATGAGCCAAGAGTCTCAAAGTCAAGTGATCAAGAAAGCAAAACGAGTTCATCTGACAGAGAACAAGAGAAAATTTCATCTGACAAGTCTACATTACATAAAACTGGACAATCCTCACTCTCGTCTTCATCTGAGCAGTCAACACTTTCTCCTGCCGAGACTCCCCGGGGGAGATGTACATCCCCCTGTCTGGTACCCATACTTGCAGAGTCAGCACAAGCGAGCCGGGAGACAGTTGAATATTGTTCTCCTCAAGAAAGCAATATTTCAAGCTTCAGTAGAAAAAAGATTGAAAGCTATCATCCCCAAAGTTGTCTAAAGCGAAATCAAATGAATTCAACTAAGGCTACACCGGTCCCAGTAATAAAACGAGTTGCCTCATACAATTGTCAATGAACAAATTTCTTATCATCAAAATAGCTGCCTTTTTGTGAATGAAATTCAAGATAAAGCTGAACAAACTATCGCATGTGGGAAATATCCAGGGTGAAATAACAGTGTTATAAACCGCAGCCAGGACTCAGTCTTTTAAAAGCTCGACAGTTTTGTCAGGTTGCAGATTTCTTGGATGTGAGATGAACATTTATCAATTTTGCTGTTGTTTTGTCGGAAACTCTCGTGGCCAATCAAGCAACCATTCGTTAAGTCTGTTATGTACAGGTTTTAAACATTCTTATTTTCTCATTTTGTAGGTTGCAGGCCAGAGATTAGTGTACAAGTTTAACGAACTGCCATATAACTGTGAACCTGGTGTAACGAGATCTCTTTACCAAGGGAACAGAATCAAGGTTTCCATCCAAGAACCAACGAAATCTAAAGAAGCCGACCCCACCCCTCCCAAGACAAATACTAACACTTCACTGTCAGCTTTTACTCCAGTTCGAGGACATCCCAAAAAGAGCTGGTCTTGGCCGCTTCTTTCCACGCCATCGAATCCTTTCGTTTTGTACCCAGGTTCCACTCCTAACAGCTCTAAGACAATGATCGTATTCCCGTTTGGTCCCAGTCCACCTGTGCACCATACATTACCGTTGCATTTGAAACGGGAACACGATGAACCTGTTGGTAAAATGATAACTGCTGAAGTTACTGCGATTCCGGTCTCGATCTTTCAGCGTGTCTAACGCACGTTGATATCGAGATTTAGGACACACCTCACAGCTTTTTTTCCATTAGAAAAAACAGGACTTAAAAACAGGACAACATATTTGATTAAAGTATCTTGACCTAAAGTCGTTTTACCTTATAACAGATTATTCAATTACTTATCCTGCTTATATATTCGTTTAGGCTCCTCCACTTTGAAGTAGTCTGAATAATAGAAAAATTGCCGTTAAGTTTTCCAGCTCGATGGGATAACATCGAGCTGAAAAGAGTAAGTCATCATCTCAGGTTATCCTTCCAATACTTTAAGGCTGACCAATATTTTATTCCAAAAGCGCTACGGTTAAAAAGATATATTTTCCCTTAAAAAAAGTATGTTTTTTGAAAAGGTGTAGAAAGTATTTTAGATTTTGTGATAAAAAGTCTGAAGACGTATTTTTTTTTGTAAAACTTAATTTAATTTTGCAAGTTAAAAGCCTTTTTTTTTACACAATGATGTAAGATGGAAATAAATTGATATGGTTTTTGACGTATATCTGCAAGTCTTCCCCTTGAAAGAACGTACCAGCGACGAATATATCTCTGATTTGAGTAACTCCTTCGCGGCCTAGAAGAAACCCCGAGGCGTTACTGCCAAAAAATGATGCACGCGCAGAAACTATTTGCTTTTTGCGTCCGCAGACAGAACTTCTTCCTGGGGTCAATTGTGGTTAAGTGCAGGTCATTTATTTTATGATTCCTGGAGGCCGGAAGAACTCGTTCTGCAGTTGAGATTTTAAAACGCGAGACCTTCTTTAACGGGTTTAACTTCTTTGCTGTACTTTTCGGTAAGAAGTCGGAAACAAAATTAGAGTTGATGACAAAAGGCAAAAGCCTTTAACCTCTCACCGTTTTTAACCTTCTGATTTAATTCTACCTCTAGGAAAAATCGATTATATAAATACTTTAAAATCCATGAGCCGTTGCTAAATAGCCTTTTATACCAAATTTACAACTATAATTAGCTTACACCGACACTCTTGGAAGAGTAACTTCCGGTTTTCGACATCCGCTTTCTGCTTCATTTTTTGTTTCTATTTCTTTCTAAAATTTTCCAAATATATACTTTTTTGTCCCAGTGTTTTTCTTAAACCAAATATAGCGTGTCTGTGTTAAACACGTCACCTTTTCTGTTTCTTGTGTTATATTTCGCTCTCACAGCTCAAATATTCAGGCCTCAGTTGATAGAAGCAAAACTCGATCTCTTGTGCCTAAAAACACAAAATTGTTGTAACCAGCTTTTCTGGGCGTTTTCTACCGTTCAAAAATATAAATAAATAAAAAACACAGTGGAAAGTTTAACTTCCACTAACCGGAGGTGAACCGGAGGTGAAGATCACGACCTCCCTTTGGTATATTTGATATGGTGAGATTTAACTCAAACTAAATACGACTGCATTTCCTTGCAGGACCCCAAGAATTTTGAGCTTTGAATTAAACGCCGCAACTGAGAAAAGACCTTTTGACCTTGTTTTGAAAGCTTCTTCTTTTTTTCTTTTTTATCCTTTTTTTTTAATTTTTTTTTGTAAAACAAAACCTAAAAACAAAACACAACCAATTGCGTGACGGAACAGAACTTTCTGGATTGTCATGCCTATTGTGATTTCAACCGGAAGATGCCGAGAGGAAGTAAATATAATTTTATATGATTGATAGAACTTCCCTTGCAGCTTTAGTCATGCTTAAATAAAGCTTCCAGGTGCAGCTATCATTATGAGTGAGACCCATGTAAAGTTAAAAGTCCTCCAGTTTTCTGTTGCATTTCAAATTGAAAGTGATCGAAGAAGGACGCACCTCTGACTGTTTGACTCCCGCGCAATATGGCGTCGCAAACAGCAGGTAGATCATTCTTTTATTTTCTTGATTTTGTATTTTAAAATAAAATTATTCAGCCCAAGCCGTGGGTTTCTTATGCCTAAAATTTCATATGTATCAATTAATTTTGAAAGGTTTTGTTCGGTTGCGTGAATAGTATATTATCTTTGACTCGGCAATCATGATATCGAGTACAACGCCTGATGAGCGACGAGTTGTCTAAAAATTATTATTTTGCGAACTGATCACCTTAGAACAACAAGCGAACTTACTTTCTACAAATGGAGATCCTTTTCGATGCTAAAAAAGTAGCTATAAAGCGATTAATGACAAAAAACAACTAGTTACTTTGAAACAGCTTTTCACGGCAACTGGCTAGTGCGGCGTGGGTAACACGCGACTGTTTGGGATGATATCATAATGACGAATGTCGTTAACCACAACCAAGAGAAGATATTTCTAGAATTTTGAACAGAAAGAGAGCTGTTGCTTCCAGTGAGTGTCATCTCCTCGTTTCGTTTAAAGTTAATTTGAAGTTTTAAAGGCTCACTGACAAGAGACGACTGACAAAGAATCGCAAAGCCGTATCTTGAGTTAAGCGACGGAACAGTTCTCAGTCATTATTTAAATAATTTGCTTGTTGAATTGTGTCATTCACGAGCAACACAATTTTTTTCTTTGAACTGTGAACAGATAAGAGGCTAGAGCCTTTTATTTGGGAATCATATCGACACAAGTCAAAATAAAACTTGAATTTTTAGAGCATCACCCAAACGTAGGGGGAATGATGCACTTTGCTGAGTTCAGCGAAGTGAGAGCCAACAATTCTAGTTTCAATCCAAATTTACAATGTTTTCTCGTTCATTTTTGAAGTAAATTACAATCATTACCAAAGATTTAGTGGCCATTTTCTCAGAATTTAATGATCATTAATGCAAATCTAGTTTTCAAACTGAGGATTCTCGTCTGGTAAGACTCAAGAGTCCAAGCCGGCAATCCATAGGAAAAAAGTGTTAGTTCGCAGCTCGACTATCTTTACTGAAGTTTGTTCACTGTCAATGGGTGTGATCGATGGCTAATGAAAGAATATTGTCCTGAGAAACTGAGGCGTATGACTAAAGTTTCAAAACTCAGAGAGAAACAAAGAAAATCGAGACATTATCAGTCTTGTGCACAAGTAACTGGAGGATAAGCCTCCAGAGACTTATTTATTGTAGATAGGAACTCTTTCCCAAGGAAACTGAAAGCATGACTCATACGAAGAACTCTTGTTTCAGTTCACATAGTGATTGTGCAGCCCTCGTGCGAAGAAAGATTTTGATATTTTGGTAGAGTTGATAAGTATTTCATTTTGTGTCATCCATTATCCGTGTTTTTAGGAGGCTCGATTGTGCAATAAACAAAAGTATAACTGTGGTGAAGAGCATTAATAGTTAAGTTTTGAAAAGCATCCATATGTTTCGTTGGATTATCTTTAATCATGTTATCATGTTTTAGGTTCTGTGTCCTAGGAAATATTCAAAGCTTAGAAAAGGCGTTCACGAAGAGCTATATCCTCTTCTGTTGAGGAACAGCTGCAGCAAGAGCAAATGTAGTCTTTAGAAAGAAAAACGTTTGCAATAGGAGCAAATCTAAATAAGCTTACGTTTTCTTTGTAAGTTTAAACAATTTTGTGGGGGACATAGAATAACCAAAATTTTTCTTTAAGTTAATTAGAGAAAGCGTTTGGTGTTATGCAGGCCATCATGAGTTGAAAAGGTAAATATTGTTTTTATTGATCGAAGCGAACTGAGTTGTTTATCGATAAGAACTCTGTCAGAAGCACAATAATCGTTTGCCTCCTGCAATGAAGACACTCGCTGTGAAGATGTTGATGATAATAATTGCTTTATAAACGAATAAAAGGCAATTATTTTTACAGTAATAACATAGTTATTTTCAAGTCTACCACTGATATCTACAATATAATCGTATGAGTGTGCCATAAACTCAATAATCTATTGAAACCTACTTTATCTGAAATACATGATTCGCCTTTACTGAGTCAAAGAAATTTTCGGCGGATATTCAAAGTTAGGTTCAACGCAAGCTTAACGACACATCTGTTGTAATTAGTTAATTTTAGTTCCCTCCAACAGGTGTAAAACTGCGTCAATTGTCAGCTTAAGTCGTTGTAGCTCTTTCATTCGAGCATATGGCTCTTAATTGTATATTCAGGGCTTTTGTTACAAACTTTTAAGTAGTTGGATTGTCAGGAAACTAGTAACCTCTTTAACCGGAGAAAATGTGGTCAGCGTTTGCTTTGAAAGAACTTTGAGCTGCTCTCCGCCAAATTTCAAAGCAGATGGGATCTTACTTCCCATATTTGACGAGGAGGACGGAGGGACTAGGTTTTGAGCTTTCACAGTTATTTACTAAGGGCTCGTTATAGGGATAAATATTACGCCAGCAGAAAGGGTTGTAGATGCTTTGTACTTTAGAACGTATTTAACTCAGTTTTAGTGTTTATTTGAAGTATCAAAGCTTTTATAAGTTGGTGTTACGATTCAAAAGCTGACAAATTGTTAGATGTTAAAACTAATGAGTCCTTCTTTCTCTTTTCTCTTTCACCAAACCACTGCCATGAAAGTAGAGACTACGGTGACAGATTTAGGAATCGAGGTGATAAACAAATCAAACGATGGAGGTAGAAATCCAGAAGTTAAAAAATATCGTCGCAAGAACATTATCCACTTGTGGGAATTTTTGTTGGAGCTTCTCGCCAACGACAATTTGTGTACGATAATCTGCTGGAGTAGGAAAGAGTTCAAAGAGTTTCAGCTTAAAAGACCCGAGGAAGTGGCAAGAAGATGGGGTCTGCTAAGAAGAAGGAGGAAAGGAATGAATTATGAGAAACTTAGTAGGGCTTTGCGATTCTATTATGGTCAGGGAATAATTCAAAAGGTTAGTACTGTCGTCATGAAGTGTTTACTGATCGATGGATACACTTACTCTTAGCTAAGTAACCCAAAGTTTACTCACAGTTGACATGAAAAGCTTGCAAAAGCCATCTTACTAAAGAATTGAAGGTTGAAGGACTGGAAATGGTGAAGCCCAGGAAAATATACAGCCATAAATTATTCCTGGCTTAATCTAACTATAGTCCTTGAAACGTGTGAAGAGATATTGCTCATAGAGGCGATTGTATTGTGTGTCATTGCTGTCTGTTTCATAGTCGTGCATTGTATTACCAACCCAGTTTCCTGATGCTCAATTAGTTTGGTAAATGCAATACCCGTTGAAGTTTTAGATACAAAACTTATTCAGTTGTCGTAAGACTGAAGAATCTTACTGCTAAAAGTACATTGTACATGGTGTCGGCCAGTTGGAGTGTTGCATGGTGTTTGGTAAAATTATAGTACAATGACTCTATCATTGTAAAGAGATTTCCCACAGAGCTTCCTGTAATGTAATAATCTTGCTGTTTGCTAATTGAGTTCATGGATCGTATCTGGGTTGGCATGATGAACATTGTTTTTTTCATACCTTGCACAGTATATTTCGATCGTATATAGTTACACTGAATGTGGTATGTCATTGGTATGGTACCATATGGTACTTGTTGTGAAGAATGGTACCTTTTCCTAACCTACATGGGAAAATTGATTTGATCTTCCAATTTTTATGACTCACAGTACAAATGTACTTCACAGAGGTAACAGGTTAATGATGTATAAAATGAGCAATAACCCATGTGTCTAGCTTTTCCTATAGTATGGAGATTTTAAGATTTCTTTAAGGTTTTATGGCCTTTCCTGCGAACATGAAGGGTGCTCTGAATATCTTTCCAGTGCCTACCTTTTAAGAAACATTCATCGCTCTCTGTACTATTTACTGGTCTATGCTAAATGGCGTTTGGTACTTGGTTAAATAGTGTTCAAGGGTTGTAACCTGTTATCAGAAAACACTGTACATGCAATTAATACCATTAATATCTATTGTTCCATGTGTGTTGCCTTGGATTATGATTACTTTTTATGGTATAGTACATTATATCTAATGCAAGGTGTGGTTACACTACATTCTACATTCACATTCTAAGTTGTTGTTCCAAGAGACTGTTGTTCCAAGAGAGGATTAAGTAGTACATTGTTTCTAGTGTAAGTGGTGTTTGATGAGGGTCTTATCTTGAGTGGTCTCACTCTCTTTGCTTTTATTGCGATGGGACACAGAACCAGTTCATAATGTCGACTGTAAGTTGATTTTGCGTGAAGATTTTTGAAGTATTTAGCAATTAACGCGTGCGTTTTCGTTTACTCTATGATTTTGTACCGTGTTATGGTACCCTCGAAAGTGTTCAGTCCTACGAGAGATCAACGAGGCGTGTTACACCTCAATCAACTGTTTAAGCAAAAGACGTTCGCTGTTAATAACCGTTTTAACACTGATTGCTTGCTTGACTTAATTAGTAAGGATATTCCTCTGATGCAAGCCGTTTCTTCTTTAAAGTGGACCTCGTAAGTTTCGTTGTGACCTGAAGAGCGAAACCGGCCATAAACGATATTCATTAAAACAGGAAAACCACCGAAAACAGTTTTTTCAAACCAATATGAAACGATTTAGGCCGGGAAAAAGAGAACCGAATAAGAAACCGAAAAACTCATTTTTCCTTCTTCGCGTCATGTAAAATGACCAAAACCAAACATCCCAATGTTCCGTCCTTTACGTTAGGCATCTTAAATTCGGCGCGCATTTTGCTTATTTTGGTGACAACAGTCCTTCGCGACAGCGGCCTTGCGAGGAATCCAAGTGCCCGTATTGAAAATAGTGCCAAAGGGAAGAGTCAGTGAGGCAGGTTGTCGAAAACAAGACTTTCATTTCTGGCTTTCCACTGATTTCGAGGAGTATCTGTTGCATATGATATAATTCACCCGGTCCAGTGGAACGAAAGGATTCAGCCAATGGCTTCAGCTGATGAAGTTGAAGTCTTACAGGTCTTTCAAATTAACTAAGTGAATTAGACTTTGATCGACGTCGATCGTGCACAGTTTCAAACGAATGCTCAAGGTAGCTAATACATGTAATGATCCTTACAATTTGGTAAACTGTATGAAGATGGACTCTAGCTAAAAGTAAACTTGTGAATTTGTGGTCAAGCTATTACAGTAACACAGAGGAATGGTTTTCACTCACTCGCTGATGTTATAGGTCGTTTGTGGCTATCTATTATTCACCTACCGATAATTTTATTTTCATATTCTCGTAGGTTCCCGGCCAGCGTTTTACGTACAAGTTCGACAAATTACCATACAGATACGATCCAGAAGTTTCACAATCATGGTATCAAGAACGAAAGAAAATATCATCTGATAAATCTACATCCTGTTTATCAGGACAATCATTACTCTCGTCTTCATTTAAGCAGTCAACACTTGCGCGTGCCCAGATCCCTTTGGGGAGTAGCAGCTCTCCATCTCTCATACCCAGTGCTGCTCGGTCGACAAAAGCAAGCCAAGTGACAACTCAACGACTTTCTCCCCAAATATGTATTTCTTCAAATCTGAGTAAAATAACATTGAAAGCTTCTGTTCCTTTACTCTTTCCAAAGCAAGATCTTCTGAATTTTCCAACTAAGTCTATTCCTGTGTCAGTGATTAAGCGAATTGCCTCCAATCCATAGCCAATAAATAAACTGTTGATTTTATCATTGGTTGCTTTTCTTGTGATATCTGAGACTCTCAACGATCAACTGGAAGCTTTTCTAAAAGTTTCCACCAAAGGTAACATACACAAGGAAAACGAAGGGCTGACGTTCGAAACGCCAGCTTCAGAAACTCTCTGTGAATGCAAATTCACATGATCAACTCAGGTGATAAAATCAAATTATCTTAACTGTTTAACCTCCCTCAGAGGCAGCACCACAATTTCTTCAGACACTTACCCCCTATATACACAAGGATAAAAATTTGCCGTCAATTCTTAACGGTAATTGCCCTAAAAGTGTGTAGAGACGTTTTCAATCAGTTAGTTTCCAGATTCTGGTTCAGCACTATTTCAGCTGTGAACGTGATCAACCTCCATATTGATGCGTTTTGCAAACGAAAAACACTTAGTTGTATTTCAAGCCACAGCTGTTTCAATGATATGTGACCCTCTACGATAAAACGCATACTAGGCTGAACACACGGACACGGTAAATGACACGTTAACTATTAAGCAATAAAAATATTTCCTTTGTTTATGTGGCACAAGAAAAACAAAGGCGCGTGGATGTGTATCATAGATAATCGAAAAAGAATTGAGAAGGTAAATTTTGAGCTCGGTCTTGAAATAAAAGAAACCCTTCCCTAAAGAATAAAAGCCAAGTTTTTCGGATTCCGCGCTCCGATGCTCCACCACAGAGCAACAAAGAACTCCACACCTTCCTCACAATGTTTGCAACATCGCTGATCGTAGTGATAGCGTACCTGTCATATTTAAAGCAAGTAATCCCCAAAATCTGTGTAGAGTCGCTGTAGCTAACTGCCTCCGAGCGTAAATTTCGAATCTTTGGGGTGCCTTAGATTTTCACCGTTTATTCCCAGGTTCTCGTAAAAGAAGAAACACATCTTTTTTACAATATACAAAATAAAGAGACCATTAACTTCATCCACTCGTAATATGATACCATGGTTATAAGTTCTCTCCGCTTGAAGAAATATAACATCAATCAAATTCAAGTCAAAATAATTTTAACTCCAATCAATATTTACATAGTTAATGATTGACAATTACCTTCCTGTTTTTTTATTATTATTATTATTATTATTATTATTATTATTGTTTTCATAACTGCGACGGTATTTTCGAATATTCATATCCGCTGAAGAGGAACGTGGCTTAACAACCTTAGTTCTGCATTGTAAGGTGGATTAGGAACCCTTTAAGCCTTTAAGACAAAGAAATGCTGTTCAGTACCAAGTTTTAAGGGAGCCTGTTACACTGTATTTCACTTGAAACTTGCGATAAACAGGAAACTTGCACTTCCAGAAGCTTACACAGCAGCTGAAAATTATTTTGTAAGACTTTCGCAGTTGTTATTCACTTTCAATAGCAATTTGGACAAAACAACATCCGGTTACCTGCTTCCGGCTTCCGGTCCTATTCATCACTTTCAATCGGCTCAAGATCTTCTCTCTCTTTCTCTGTTTTTTTTTTCCTTTTACCACTAAGAAATGCAGGTACCTTGGATTTAAAGCCAGTTAATACTTGGGAAAAAGCAATATAATTTCTCAACCTCAGAATTTCCCTTTCACTGCTCGTAGATCACCCAGAAATAAATTCTAAAAACAGAATCACTTTCCTTGTGCTTCAAAATATGTAGCTTTTTAGCATTTATGACGAGTTGGGTTGTCTAACAAGACGAAGTAGGTGGAAGAAGCAGAGGAAAGTTCAGTTTTCCTCAGGACAATGCACGATTGAAAACGCCTTGAGGTGAGAATAACGACCTCCAAGACTGTGTAGATATTTCGGTTCAGAAAGTTTCCTAGTAAATAAATATTAATGCCATAGCAAAAAAAAAGAATTACATAATAATCATTTGAATTTGAACGACATAGTTGAAGAAAAGCCACTTATTTTTCCTATTTCTTTCATAGTCTAATGCGTGACAAAATGTTCTCGTCTGCTGTCACGACGTGTTTGTTACAGGAAGTCCCTGGAAGGTACTAATACTGTCTAGCTTTGAGAGGAAGTATATTCTCTTTTATAGCACATAAAACTTCCGTTTTATAAGTCATGTTTAAATAAAGCCGCAAGATGCAAATATCATTATACGTAACGAAACACGCAAAGCTGAAACTCCTGTCTGAGTCCTTTTCTTTTCCATGTGAAAGTAATTGGGAACGACACCCTCAGGGACTGTGTGGGATTAACTGAAATGGCGTCTAAAACAGCAGGTAAAATTTTGCTTAAATTTGTTTATTCCTAATAAATACTTGGAGCAATAGCATGGAAAAATATCAATCGTTCTAGCTCTAGAATCCAAGTTTTCTTCGTGTGTTTGACTCTATATATCGTGCAGAACGCCCAAAGATATTACAAATAACTTGCGAAAATTATTTTTATAAGAACGTAAAATGAATAAATACTGCATTCATATCCTTTTCAGTGATGATCAAGGATAACGATTTACGAGAAAAAAAGGTTTAAATAGCCTTTTCCAAAAACTTGCCACAAGTTTTGTGGATGGTGAGCATGACTGGTTAGTCATTCGTACCAAAAATTGTGACATAAACAACCATGAAATACACTTGTTTTTAGACTTGTAAACAGATCAGGTCGTTGTTATTTTACACTCAGGTATTATAGGTGTGAATTTATACTGAATTTCAGGTTGAGAGCTTCCCTTAGAAATACTAAGAATTGGGTTCATGGTCTTTGAGGCTAACGGGCGACAGTTTTGTTGTTTGTTGTTCCACGTTCGTATGCTCCACTGGCCGTTTAACGTCGTTGTTTTAGCTTACAGTTATACCCGCACAAGTTGTCAAAAATCAGAATGATCATGATAGCTGTAGATTTTCGTCAATTTTAGATTGTTTCAGGTTCAAAGCGAGTTATGATTCCACAGTAATAAAACAATTTCTTTTATCTACCGGTAAAATTATTTGATATTATAGAAAGACTGTAGTTATCGATCAGTGATGCAGAAACGAAGGAAAGGGAATATTCACTCTTGCCTCCAAAAAAATCATAAGAAGGCTTAATTTCATTGACAAGTGATCATTTGATGTATGAAAATTCTTTAGAAAACTCCAAATAAAACTAAAAGAGTGACTCATGTAAACACAGCTCGTTCATTTTCGATTTCAATGTTGATGCTTCATTTGTTAGGCTTTCCTTTAAAGAATTTCTTCGATCTACTTGCATGGCTAAAAAGATGAGGGGCGATGTGTTTCGCTTCTCTTGTCTCACATGAAAGACCTCGAGTGAATCTCAAATGATGTTAGCGCTTTTTGACATCGGTCCAGTTAATACCTGGGAGAACAATATACAAGATGCTTCTTTAAAAAGTTGGCTTGCAAGAATGGACGTGTAGGGGATGATTTTAAGCTAAGAGACATGGATTGTGTTGTGGTATTCATTCGACAGAAAAAAAGAATGCTGGTAAAATTCCCTACTCGAGGTCGTTATTTTATTTTTACTCCTCTCACTTTCTCTCCAAATCACTGGTATTTGAACAGAGGCTACAGAATCATCTTTGGAAATCGAGCTGACGAAGAAATCAACTCGCAAAGGTGGAACTAGAAATTCAGAAGGTAAAAAACGTCGGCGGGTGAACACCATCCACTTGTGGGAATTTTTACTGGATCTCCTGGCAAATGATGATTTACGAACTATAATATGCTGGAGTCGAAGAGAATTCAAAGAATTTAAACTGAAAAGACCCGAGGAGGTATCAAGAAGATGGGGTTTGGTTAAACGAAAGAAGGGAATGAATTATGAGAAACTCAGTCGAGCATTACGATTCTATTATAGCCAAGGAATCATTCAAAAGGTTGGTATAGTCATCAAGTATTGTTAGATGATAAATGTGCTAACTTGTTACTATAAACGATTAACTTAAAGCTTACCTACTGAGGAGAAACGGTCTCCTGTATATACCAAAACAAGCCACTGTAGACAACATTGCTTGTTTGTGGATGATTTTAAAAGTGTAATAGTGATTAGCATTTCTATCCTTTATTGATGTTACTGACCTTTTTTTTATTATGATTGAAATATTTATACATTTATTTCAAAGACACACACCACATATGGTATCAATAATACTTCCGTCCAAAATGCACAATACCAATTGTTACTTTTCATACTAAAACATTGCTTACAATACTAGATTGGTAGTACCACCAACTCCAATACCAGAGTCAACCATAATACTACCATTGCCTATTGGAAAAGGCACAATGAAGATGTCAACCTTGCATTCAATTAAGTTGCATATGATTTATTTATCATAAACAACCTTACATGTTGAGATTACGTAATATTTCTTCATGGAAGACATATTCTATTAATAATATATTTAACATTAATATAATATGATAATAATAATAATAATAATAATCTATTAGGAAAAATTGCCGCCTATTTCTTATTGAACTTAATTTCTTTGTAGTTCCTCGTAGAAATTTACATTTCCGTTTCAAATTTCAAATTTCAAATTTTCAAATTTCATTTTGATCTTAACCATAAGTTCAGTAAAACTTAAAAAAATCAAGAAAATCAATCTCACCCACATAATATACATAATTTGGCTATCAATACGAGATAATCCCTTGATTCGCTTTTTGTTGTTGTTGTTGATGGTTCAAGTGAGTAATGCGATGTTTGATTTTTGCACTTTATGACCTGTTGCACCTTTTGTGATTTCTACTTATGTTGTAGCACAGGGTACATGGTGCATTTTATTATATCATTACTTTAAGGGATAGGAATTTGGAATAACCAGAGAAGCCCTTCTCCAGCCAGATAATTGGTTTGGCGGGATACGGGATGCGGGATGCGGGATGCAAGTCTTTATCTTTCTCCATAATGAGAGTACATTATCCATATTGTAAAGGCTATTATTTGCTTATTAGTTGGTGGTGAACTGGAGCGACTTGGATATAACTAGGCGGGATCGGGATGAAAATGTTCATTACGGCGGGATTGCGGGATGGCGAGATGGGATAAAAAGAACTAGCGTTGGGATGCAGGATTAGGAAAGTCTATTTTAGACCCCCTGTGATCTGCTTTTCTGTAGCTAGGGTGTGGTTGAATGTAATGCATACTTTGGTAAATAGCGTTCAAAGTTTGAATGGCGTGATCCAATTCATGACTTTTCTTGCAGTTACGTGGACTACATGATACTGATTAACATTTTGTAATAGTGGTAGCATTTTGTAATGGTAGTAGCATCTGTTTGATGCTTCAAATTGACAAACTTTTGCAGTGAACTAGAATCGTTACTTAACTAGGAAACTACGTTAGCAACTAAATTCCATGATTAATTACAAGTGATGGTGTGTCATATTCTATGGTAAATGGTGTTCGAAGGTTGGATAAGGTGAACCAATTTATGATTTTTTTTTTCTAGATCTGTGGATCTGCGATGCCTTGATGGTGTTTGTTTTATAATTGAGTGACAGGTTCAGGGAATCACTATGTAGTTAGAAATTTACAAGTTTCTTTGCAAAGGAGAGAGCTTAATTCTTATGCTTAGAATCCATTGGGCAATTCATTTTTGATCCACATGATTGTACGTCTGGCTGATATATCTATATATTTTTTATTTTTTTATCTTTTTCATGTTCTCCAGGTTCCTGGCCAACCTTTCACGTACAAGTTCGACAGGCTGCCTTACAAATATGAGCCAAGAGTCTCAAAGTCAAGTGATCAAGAAAGCAAAACGAGTTCATCCAACAGAGAACAAGAGAAAATTTCATCTGATAAGTCTACATTGCATAAAGCTGGACAATCCTCACTGTCGTCTTCATCTGAGCAGTCAACACTTTCTCCTGCCGAAACCCCCCGGGGGAGATGTACATCCCCCTGTCTGGTACCCATACTTGCAGAGTCAGCACAAGCGAGCCGAGAGACAGTTGAATATTGTTCTCCTCAAGAAAGCAATATTTCAAGCTTCAGTAGAAAAAAGATTGAAAGCTACCGTCCCCAAAGTTGTCTAAAGCAAAATCAAATGAATTCAACCAAGTCTACTCCGGTGCCAGTAATAAAACGAGTTGCCTCATACAATCGTTAAGGGATTAATTTCTTATCATCAAAATAGCTGCCTTTTTGTGAATGAAATTCAAGATAAAGCTGAACAAACTAAAACTTGACCACCGAGACACTCAGGCTCCAAGTAATATGGTTCTTGGTTCTTGTGCGTAAGCTAATAAACAAATAATCTCTTTCGTTGTTCCCTTTCAACGAAGACTAAATAATCACTAACCAGATATAAATTGAATCCTTTTTTGTATGAAGCGTTATAATTTTACTCGAGCGTCATAAGCCGCCTACCTCACCCTTTCCTCCATAAAAATTTCTGATGAGAGATAGGTTGCTTTAGCCCTTGAAATCCCGTGAGTGACCAAGACAGAATTTCTCCTTACAATATCAATACAATATCAAGCAGACAAGTGATGAGAATAAAGAAAAATTTCAATTAGGGGATTATTAGTTGATCCAATACCAATTTCTCCGATGCAAAACCATAAAAAGATTGTATGGTAGGCATTAAGGAGAATTTCTTATGAGATCTTGAGAGTGAAAGGGTTAAAGTACAACCATTAAATGCGATTTTCTTATAAATAGTCTTCCAGGCAATTTAACGAGCTCTCCAATTGTTTCTGAGTAGGATGTGAATTTTTTGGAATGAACAACATGGCTTTTTATATAACCTATTCAAGGAAACTTAATTTTGAACGAAAATAGATGGTATTTTCAGTTTTATTATGTCTAAGCATTTGCTTTGAGGTCTTTTCGGTTTGAAACTGTTATCACGGATAATCATAAAACTTAAAAGGTGACGTTGCTCTCCTTTCTCCACTGATAACACATCTCTCCCAAACTTGTCTCTTTTCCCGTTGTTGCTCTTGGCATATTTCAGTCGACAAACTAAACGTTTCGAATTGGGCAAAGACAGAAGTTGTCTGAGCGGTGTTTTTCTTAGGGAGCGCGAGTTTTTATGATGTCGATCGTTTGCCGAGATAAAATGTTTAATAATCGGCTACAGTGGGCTAAAAAAAGCGTGTGGTGAGACGGAAGACGCTTGGAATCTTTTCTCTTATCCCTTACCTCCTTAGTATTTTTCTCGCCGTTGCACTATCGATTAGGTGAAATATCTCTCTCTCTCCAACTTTCCTCTGCTAAAAAATTTAAGATTGTGTCGATTCACATTTCGCGAGAGTTAGAGAGGACAATGGTTCGCGAGCGTAATTCGGTTCAAAAAATTATAAAGAGGTTCACATTTTTTTTATTATTATTTCTATTACACTGTTGACAAATAAAACGCAGCAAGTTTGTAGCGGTTCTGCTAAAAGAGGAAACACGATTGGGAAAATGAAGCGAACACCTTTTTCTACCAAAAAATTGGCTACGTTGAATTCATCATGTTCCTATAAAAAGGGTTGTGACCAGAAGGGGAAAAGAACGGCTTCATTGCATCGACACTGGTCGGAAACATGACTTCAGGAAAAGGCAGCAGGGAAGATAGGGGATCTGGAAACCACATCTTTGGACGAGGAGGCGTGGGTCTTGGTGTCTGGCAGAAGCATCTTATAATGGGAGCACAAGATGACGATAAGTAACAGCCGTGAATTACAGATTGGAAAGACGCAAGCTCTTTTGTTCTGAGTTTTTTTTGGATACATTCATTGAGTCTGTATCCATGATAGCGAGACCTTGTGACACCAGGTTCGTAGTTATAAGGCAATTTTCCAAACTGGTAGCACAGTCTTAAGCCAGCAACCTGTGAGAAATGAAAAAAGACAAAAAAAAATGCAACATTAACCACATGAAATTACTGAAAGTGATTTCTTCTTTCAATCAAAAGCTTTACTACTTGAACTGGCGACTGAAAAGGCTTTTGTAAGGAAAGCAAATAAACGAACCGATATACGTCAACGGGAATGAGATCGCGTATAGAATTACAGGCAGGTTTTACGCCGGTTCACAATGAAATTAATTATCATATTACAGTGATTCTAATTTTTATTTAACTTCAAGAAAAAGCCATAAAATTTAATTAACACGAGAGCTTTAGATTTCCCGTAGGTGACAAGTGAAATCTTTTGACGAGACTTCAGAAAACACCGCGTAATCGACTGCATGTGTCATTCTCATTGCTCTATGGATTTCTAATAACGATGTTCTCGTGCCCTTTCAAGAGTCTCTGAAGGAACAAAGACAGCGACAGCAATTTAAAAAGCGGCGACAAAAGATGCAATTTATAGAACTGATTGCTTTCTAATTTAATTGCGTGTCACAACTTGAGATTTTTTTTTTTTTTTTCACCTTCCCTTACAAAATAACAGGTAAAAGTTACCAAACTTTTCGAGGGCTGAGTCGTGGCGTGTGGGAACTATTCCACACTGTTTCCAACTCACGCTGTCCTTGAGTGATATCAAAAGAGGAAGTCTGGCGCCATTCGTGACGGTGAACATAATTTCAGACAATGTTAATTCATGTTTTTAAACACACTTTTTTGTGTCTTTTGAGTTGCTGAAGTAACAACAGCTCGCGAAGGAAAACACGTTGTTCTGCCATGCATTTTGACTCTAAGTGTAAATGGCATCTTTAAAAATGGATCATTTTAATTTTCCTTACCTTTTTAATGATTCCCTTCTGATAATAATATCGCAACGCTCGACTGAGTTTCGCGTAAGTCATTTCATGTACATTTTTATAGGCACCCCACAGTTTTGCCACTTCCTCTGGATTTCTCAGCACAAACTCTCCACGTTCCTTTCGAGTCCAGGCTATTATCGATGAACTTTGGTGGCCGTATGCTAGAAGTTCCAATAGGAACTCCCACAAGTGTACAATGTTTCTGTAACGCTGCCTTTGGCTCGATGATTTACCTCTGCCTGGGTTGACTCGGTCTTCCACTTGACCTTCAACTAGATAAAGGTAAATTTTGTAAATAGGTTAGTCGTCAAGAGTACTGAATAAATCAAGGAGAGGACCATTGAGACAAAACTAATCTTGCAACCATCTTATTTTTTTCTAAATGCAAAAAGCTTCCTTTTTCAGACAATTCAAATGACGGAGTCCTTTATAAGTTATAAAAACATAGTAGATTACACCTTTCTTAAAAACAATTTCATGCAATGGCCACTGCAGAATGGAAATTTTAGAGTTTAAAGAAGATTTTATGTTCAATTGTTTTCATAAGGGATTGCGAACGAATCCATATACACTCTCTCCTTATGATAATATTAGAACTTGACAAAATTTGACTGTTGGTGGTCTATCTTTAGGTGGAAAAGTTTCAAACACGAAAAAAAAAAAACCCTTCTGTGGCTAAATTTTCTCGTTTTAAAAAGGAAGGGTGAAATTCCCGTGGTGGCAATGGACACTCAAGTGTACTGCAGCAGTTCCATCAACAAACTTAAATAAAACAATAGATAATTTGATTTTATCAACTGAGTTGATAATGCAAATTGAATAACTTAAGAATGAAGAAAACGGCTTGATGAGGTTGATCCTAATTTTGGACTCGTTTTTAAACGGTCAATTTGTTCGCTAATTTCTATTTCTTCAAAAGAGAAACCTCGCGGAATTTTTTTTTTATCAGTATTATTTTTTAAGTTTTGGTCATTCAAATAGCGTCTAATTGAGGCGAAAAGAGAAAATAAAGGTTTCCAAGGGTATAAAAACACCGGACGTGTAAGAAAAAATAAAGAGGGAACAGGAATGTGTTGGGATCAATAGGATTTACGCGGATTTTTTTAGTTTGGGTGTTTGGGATTTTAAATTGCGGCCAATTCAGATGAAGATGTAAAATGATAGTTTCCAAGAGTATAAAACTCCAGAGTGGTACAAAATGAAGGTGCAACGATATTTACGGATGAATAAAATTCACAAGGATTGCAACACGGTTGCCTCGGAATATACTAGCTTGGTATTTCAAGATGCCAACACAAGTCATGGCGAGGCCTCCTTATAGATTAAAAACTGTTAAGAGGAAGTCAAGGATGGATAACAATGAATTGTAAATCTTACCCTGCTGTTGCATTTTCCTCATTCTTGTCAGCGAAATGTTGTCAGCCATAGTTATCCAATCAAGGTCCCCTTTTTAGCAGCGCGAATTGAAGAGGTATCTGACTTCCTGGAGGTGTTGCCTAAGTTGATGCTCGGTCTTAACTGAATCAAGTTGGACTTTTCCAACAGATCATAAAGAATAAACGTAAGGAGTGGCTGGTAGAGGGTTCATGTCGTCATAAGTGACATATCCTGTCAGTTCATCTCCACCGTCTTCAAATGCTTCGTTTATGGGCTCTGTTACCTGCAGGTTGTTCCAAACACTTTAAACCTGCGATTACAACAATAGCACTATTTTAAGTTAAATATTTCATGCAGCTTTTTAGGTAAAAGGGGTACGTTTCTGAAGAAACTCTGGTGCTGCGTCAGTGGGAATGTATAACAAGATAATTTGTTTCCATCAACCGAGTTGGTAATGTAAATTTGCCACCGTAAAGAGTTTCTAACGGCTCAAGAACGGAACTTTTTTTTTGGGAAAAGGCTGTATAAGAAAGGGTGAAGAAACAGGCGTTGTGGAGCAAAACGTTTGAAGAGCGTTCTACAATACTACTCAAGCCAGAAGAATTTTCATAAGAGTATGATAAACAGCGTTAATCAAATTTAAACGATCTTAAAAATATGTCTTTTTACTTTCCACTTATAGGGCTGTAAAGAACATTTTGTCTTGCTCAGATGGTTAGGTACCAACGTAGTTTTGTGTGTTTTCATCTTATGGTCTGTCTTTCCATGAAGTACAGAAACCGTTCTGGAAAATGCGATAAGGGCATATAGAACTGCTAAATGCAAGTTTATTATATTTTTGTTTAAGTTTTGAGAACGTTATCTTTCGCAGATCTCGATGACTAACTCAATAATACAATACTTAAACAACAAAATTATTTAATAGCCACTATCATGAATTAGTTAAAAGTTTTGTCAAGGCTCTTTAGAATATAACTTTCTTCGTATATGAGGGATTTCAACATGAACAATTTATTAGATCTCTCAAATTATTTTTGTATATTTTTTTTTGTTGAAGGGATGTAACAAAGGTACTCAAAGGAAATTTTTATTTGCAAGAATATTTCATTTTTCCCACGCCTAATTGGCTCTTCCATGGGAAGACAACAATATTCCCTGAATATTTTCGCGCTCACGGTTTCCTGAGTTTGATAGTGAAGAGTACAATTCTATCTTCAAACACATGCAACTTTAAAATTTATCAATACTCTCACGGAGTTATACGTGACTACTAATTGTGTGAAGAAAAAAAAACTCAAATATCTTTGAAATCCATGTCACTCAAGTTGCTGCACGCGGTCGATCCGACATTGTAATACGGAAGGGATCCAGAAATCTTTTGAATGACTTAAAAGAATGGCTATAAGGGGGGGCTGATTGATATTGCTAGTTTCTAATTTGGCAGCCCTAGTCAGTTCGTCTCCACTGTATGTGAGCGACCGCTCCATGTGCTTGGAAAACCGCAGGTGCAACAATAGCATAATTTTTGGTTAAATATTTATGAAAGCTTTTTGGGAAAACTGCTTCCAAAAACACTATGGCGGCTTTTGTGAGAAAACACGTGCTGAAGCGAAACTTGAGGTTCGTTGTTGAAATGATACTGTGCAAAAACATTGAAAATATTTCTTCCTTTTAAAAGTAAAAGACGTATCGTGCTATAGGCAAGATTCCGTCGGTGAAATAAAATATGGCACTGCCGAAGAAAAATGATGCTTCCTTATCGAGGTGACTGGGCGCAACATGACCAAGTGCTGTAAATGTTATATAGGAATATTCCTCGTTACGGAGATGACGATCATGTTGGTATTACGAACTTGTCAAAGGCGAATTTTATTTTTAAAAAAATTCTTTGAGTTTTACCACTTTTGCCTATATCACCTTTATCGTTGTTTCGAAACAACCACAGTCTTATCATTTTCCCACGCAGAGATTTTGAAATACACATGCTGATCGAAGGTACACTTAATGGAAGAACTGATGTGTGCATGCACCTATCTATGTTACTTTGTCGTTAAAATATACTGTTACTTTTAGATTATCGATGGTAACTTTCATATGGAATATTTTTTCCTAATTTTTTTGCCTAAACCATTTCCCATTTTTAAGGAATTTCATTTGGAGGTGTTTGTATTGGCATGCATTAAAAGTTAGTTTCAACCACACATTGCTTGAGACGAATCAAAATTTACCCTGAGTAGTAATTTTTTTTTAATACTCAGTATCAGAAATAATAAAAATCTAAGAACTGCAGCATGCAAAATGGCACGTGTGCTTAATGGGGTTTTTAATGAAGAAAGTACCTTGAATTTTCAACCAGACCTTGTGTTGTCCAATGATATCTCCCCGCTGGTCTTCTCGTCTCCACAGTCTTAGACACCGAACCTCCATGTCATCGCTTAACTGCAGGTACTTTGTAACTGTATCACTGCAAACATAAAAATAATTATTATGAGAGAACAGCGTCTGGAAAAATCTTCAAACACTAACCTATCTGTAAACTTCACCAATAATTAATAAGTTGACTGAGCACGTGCTTTTATACGGTTTCTTACATTATATGTAGCTGCCCTTTACGAAACAGCGTGGATGGTTCACGACATACATCACGGTCTGTTTATCTGGGAAAATTCTCAAGTTCGTTATTTTTCAGCCACTCGTTGTAATTTTGTCTGTCATTAACCTCATTATTTGAGACGCCAAACTTTTCATGAGCCGAACTTAATTTAAAGTTTCCTTAATTTTTTCAATTTTTTTTTTGTAATTTTCCGGACTATCACATAATCTTTCGTGGAAAGGAAGTCTTTAGTTCTTTCCTGTTTACTAGTTCCTCTTTGCTTTTTGTCCATACTCGTTTAAGATAGTGTTGTGAAAAAGTTGCTTCAAGACAGTTTCAATCATTTTAAGCTGAGTACAGTATTTCCCCAGTAAATGCCGGAGCGGACGAACTGAACACAAAAAGAGATATGAAATGATCAAGAAGAAACAGGAATGATTAAGGAAAGCCAAGATTAAAACAGTTTTTGCGCGATGAATGGGGCCATAACGCTCTTCATTCAAGACAAAAGAAATCTACTCGTGCTTGAGTTAAGCTTGTGGAAGACTCTTAGTTTAAAGGAAACAAGCGACAAAGTGTGCGCGCGGAACTTGGTGGCAGGTATAACGCAAAGAAAAATAATTCGTGGTTCTTTTCAAGCCTGACACCCACAACCGCCGATTATTTCGCGCCCTTTCTTTCACTCGCCTCCGTCGGTGACTGTAACAGGCTGTTTTAAGGTCCTTTTATTTCTCCCAAGTCGTCCAGTAGGGAGTGAGCGCAAACCACCCAGGTCCCGGTTGTAAATTTCGCCATTCGTCAATTTCTCCTACAAAAATGTGAGCCTCGTACGAAGTAAAAATGATGATTCTGTTTTGGAAGTGGACAAGGCTGGCTGCGAAACCGATGGACCTTCATATCAAATTCTGACTTTTAGGGTACTTAACAAAAAAGAATGGGGAGGAAATATTTTTAAGAAATATCATCTAATTGAAAGCGGTTTCCCCGTCTGAGAAGAGTTATGGCCCCTTTTTTGCGACATGCGCTAATTTATTTCAATTTCGAAAGCAGAGGAAGGAAGTCCGAATCAACATCTATAGATACTTGAGTAAACTTGCCTGTTGAGTTCGTGAATCTGCTTTTGAGCTAAGAGCTCAAATGTATTTAGTGTGCATACAACAACGGATTGATTTCTAGTCCACAGACGGACATATTTGACGCAATTATATTTATGCTAAGTTTGTGACCACAACATTTACCACTATTTTAGTCCATTATGACAAGGCTGGAGTGTGAAACCGATCCATATCGGATTGCACTCGCTGATTGGCTAATTCAAGGGTAATACTACCTTCGCAAAGCAAAGATGAGAAACTGAAATTCAAATTCATTACCTTGAGTACAAAATTGTGGCGGCTTCAAAAATTCGAGGATTATATTTTCAATTTCATTATACCAACGAACGGCAGAATCTTAGTGAAAACGTTTTTTGGCACTAAATTAGGCGTCCCGACAATGTTAGCACTGGGCGTAAGCTAATGAAGAAATTGAAGGCTAATCCAGTCGGGAACTAATAGACGCAATAATAATGCATCTGTACAGCCTGTTTTGACAAGCAGGAAAAAGGGAATACTCACTTTAGCGTGTTTATGTCCTTTTTCACAGCCAAGGTGTGAGTCCTCACGGGGTCTAAACAGTTTCGTTTGGTACATACTCCTTTGTACTTAACTGAATGTGACACGTTTATCGTACGTACTCTTTCAAAAGTCATCATATGATCCGAATTGCGAGCAGCGAACAAGTCAAAACGTTTGCATGATCTGTGTGGGTGTTATCATTGTGCCCATCGAACAAATAAATAATTGTTTCATTTGTCAAGGTGTTTATAGAAATAGGAAGCACGCAGGAAGTTTGGAAAAGCTTCTAGCAAGACCCAGCGGGAAGCAGCTTTGTTTTCTTTTCTGCGTTCCAAGATCATTAGGTACTTCGTACCGAAATGAACGCACAGCTGAAGCATAAACCTTTGTTTTAAAATATTTCCGGCGCGTCTGTTGAAATTTTGCATTGTGAAAAAGGTCATTTCCTACGCTTCAATGCGTGCACGCACCTAAACACCGTTCATAATGAAAATGAAAGGCACGTTCGCAAAACCAACTTAATTTCTAGAATTTACGGGCTTCTTTTATGAAACGAAGTAAAATCTGACCTGAATGTAGTGATGATAAAGTCCTATTATTAGGTATTAAGGGGGGTAAATTTTTTTTGCTGCGTTGATGAGGGTTCTACAAGATAATTTGGTTTTATCAACTTAGTAGATAATTTAAATTCATCACCTTAAATAGTTTCCGAAAGCTGACGTTCGAGCTTTAACCCGTCGTTAAATTAGCGTTAAGCAATACTTAGAATATAACAATCGGTCAGTGTAAAACGCAGACTGAAGACTGCAGACCAGGGGTAAAATTCAGACTCAGTTCTTTAGTTGAAGTTTACAGACATTCCTGGTTTCTCTGATTGATTAAACTTTTAATAAAGGAACTTGCGACTTCTACTCGCTCTTAATTTGTTTCAATTCGAGGAGGACTCCGCCATTTTTCCAGTTAATAAACACACGTCACAGCAAAACTAAATTTCTTAAACATCCATTGAAGAAGCCCGACATAGGTTAAGTTGACCATGATTTGCCTCGGGTTAATAATTAAGTGAAACAACGAGCAGATCAAAAGGCAAACACTTTGGGATATTGTTTGGAGGTTTTTAATAGGATCCTTATCTCGCATCCACAAATTAACAATTGGTTCATACGTCAGCGTGCGTTCATCGAGATATGAAGCACGCAGGAAGTTTGAAGAGCACGAAAGAAGCTAGAGCTGCTACGCCTCGAGCAACTCTTACGCATCTTTCGTGCTCTCCAAACTTCCCGCGTGCTTCATATCTCGATGAACGCACAGCTGACGCATGAGCCTATTGTCACATTTTCAACCCGATGGAAATTTTTTTTCTCAAGGGATTTGTTTGCTGACGTCATGAGCTTGCACAATAGGAATATGAAGCACGCTCGCGCCATTGAATTTGATTGGACAAATTTACTAGCTATGTTATAATTTGCATTAAATTTAAAGAATTTGCCCGACTAACTTCGAAGCGTAAAACAAATATACGAGAAACAGGTTTTTATTGTCCAAGTAATCGAAATTGCCGATGTGTGATGAAAGTCTATTGCTACTACTTTCAAGGCCAAACAAAGTATACATGGGCTACGTGTAAATTAAAGCTACCTAATGTTGCTGTTTATTACATAACAAAGGAAATACATTTAGCTGAACTACATATTCAAACACTCACGTTTCTAACCGTTCTTACCTTAAAACAATATCTCACCTTTTTTTTCTCGAGTGATTTTATTGTCGGTCGTTATTGTTTCGGGCAGCGTTTTATCTGAAGGTAAAATAACATGCATGTGGACTCTGAGTCGCAAGGTCTCACGAGAAATTATCTTGTTCTCAGATACGCTTTGAATCTTCAGTTCTTGTAGAAAACGTTCACACGATGGCGAAAGCAATTTTTTCTGATCATTTTATCAAAATTTGTACAAATGAAATAAAGAGCGGCCATGTGCGACCATCTTAAAGCATTACTAAACAAATCTCGTTATCACTTGAACAGGCATAGAGCTTGGTTCGTGGAGCATGCGCAATCCGCATCCGTAAACCGCTGACCCCCTACAACTACATGGTGGAAACATTATCTGGCTTCTACAAACTGTTGGCGCATGGGTTCGCGGAGTACATTCAAGACAACTGTAATGGTGGTTCGCGGGTGCGCTGAGCTGACGCTGTGGTTGGCTATTTGAGTGAAACATGGACATCAGAGGCCAGTGCGTCGTCAACGAAACCGGAACGGAAACGATATCAGGTTTTTCTGGTTTGGAGTTGTCCTCTACGGGTGGTCGCCAAGGCCAGTTATACTTCACCGGTTTGTACGCGTAAGGAAGTTTGTGGAATTTATACACAAGTCTTTGACCTTGTACCTAACGTAAAAAGGGAAAACTTGTTAGAATAACTAAACTGCGTTTATTTATTTTCCCGGGTATCAATAGGTTTTTTTGGCCCGACCCAGAGTCATTTTAGCCCGAGCCATTGAGCGAGGGTTCAGGTAACTGAGCCCAAACCATTTCATGTCCTAGTACATAAACTGTATCATGGTCACTATCACAAAAAATACAAAACAGTCGCGTGAGCGGGATAAAATGCATTCTAGCTCGCAAAAATCTATATTTTAGCCTGAAAATGTGTCACATTGCCGGAAAAAGAGATAGAAATAGTTTTCTTAATGCTCGTCCCCTCGCGCATTACACGCGTTCCGTGATGGCCTTCATTTCACTGTATACAGTCCTTTCGCTCTAAGGCTAAAACAATTACTGTCTCGTGGTTTTGAAGAATGCACCAGGCGATAACTGCATCTCAAAACAGAGCATTGCTCCGCTTTATAATTGTTAAGGTATATTGCCTGCGCTGGTGCTGAAGTACGAGTTTACTTCCTCTACAATTTCAGGCTTCCTCGATGTTTCACTCTCGATACCTATTTTTTTCACAGACAGGGCTCCTATAATAATAGAGAAAACTAAATTTCATGAAGTAGATTGAAATGATATTGCAGCCAATGGGCGTGTTGACTAAACTCTGCAGTGTTACTCGTTATCAATGTTATAAACGTGATATCATTGCGTGACCTTAAACATATGCGTAAATGTCACGCTGTAACGTAACAGATACAATTTGCTCAGCGTAACTCGCGCGGAGGCAAAATTGAGTATTCTCCAACACTAACCTTCTTTATAATTCCTTTCTGGTAATAATACCTCAGCGCACGGCTTAGTTTATCGTAATTCATTCCTGCTCGTTGTTTTAGGCGACCCCATCGTTTGGCTACTTCTTCCTGTCTCTTAATCTTGAACTCTCCATCTTCCTTCTTTGTCCATGAAATTAACGGGATGTATCTTTCGTCTTCCAAAAGTTCCAATAAAAACTCCCACAAGTGTATGGTATTCTTGTATCGAGTTTGTTTCTGTTCCTTCTCGGGATTGTTGCGTTCTGTATAAAAACAAGTGAAGAAAAATTGCATAAATATATTGATTATTAACTCGCCCAGAAAACTTAATGCCAGTTATGAAGTTTGCTAGCGACCGTGGAAAGAGAGTGTCGAAGATTCTGGATATCAAACAGACAAAGCAATCTTCGGTCGCGTATCGAAACTGATGCCAGATTGCAACTTTTTAGGCATTGCTTTACTGCATTGTGCAATTCATTCAATAACTTCGAGCTACTTTCTCAAGAAATCAGATGCAACACTAAAATCATAAGCGACCTGTTTCCTCTCGTTTTCCAGCGCTTAGAGTCCTCATTGACTCGCTGAAATATTTTCCTATATTCTTATTGGAGGCTTAGATTGAATTTTCTGGTTCTTACGACAATCTCTCAAAATTCACTAAGTGCAAACTAAATTTTATACGAGGAACATGAAACTTTCAAGAACGATAAAAGATTATATAATCACATATTACGGATACCTATCAATGACACGTATGGTTACTTATATAATTTTAGTGAGCCAGTCTTTATGAGGTCACTTTCCGACCGGAAAGATAATAATAGATGTAACATTTATTGAGTTAAGAAGTCTGGTCTGGGTCAGGAGGCTCTTTTTTCTCACTATTCGACAACTTGGGTGTATTTTAAAGATGAGAGTGTGTTTCCTGAATGCTACTTTGTTGGATTGTCTCCATTAACAAGCTGATTAGCCTATGGTGTCTCGGTGCAATTATCTTGTTAATGAAGACTTCTCCAGGGGGATCAGCTCTCTCAACAAAGCATAAAGATTACAAGATGCCCTCAAAACCATCATCGTGTGATAAATTGTATTACGATGGAAGTGACAAGCCTACAAGTTCAATAATTTCTGTGGGTCTTGATGACACCCTTTTAGGTGACAGGAAAAAATAAGATCATTTGAAGCATAGCTTTGATTAATCCTTCCACACCGAGATTCCTGCATGTGCAGACTCTCTTTGGTCTAAAAATATACGCGGCGCCGACTGGATTTTCTCTGAATTTATTAATAGCTGACTTTGTCTGAAATAGGGGAAAGGTTTTATCCATTTTGATCTGGATTAGAGCAAGTTTCGTTTTTATGCCCCCTTGTTTCGGAACTGGGCATTTTTTATCACAGAGATTTGATTTTTCCACACTTTTATCACCATAGCAAACATTTGAACCTCTTAGAACTGAGTTGGTAGCGAAACCGTTAAGGAAGGCGAGGTTGTGTAATAGCACTTCAACTAATTTTCAAGGTCAGAGACAGAATCCATAAAAACACATCCCACACGTGCACCCCAATCAGATTTTCAATCGATTAATCCCTTGTGAGACAAAGTCAGAAAATTTAATCAAATTTCTAGGAAGAGAAAGAGAAAAAAAAACCAAAAACTTAGTGTCAGGGTGTAGCCTTTTAGTCCTCAAGACTCAACTATTGTATTTATTATAAAAAAATGCAACGAGCTTCTCATTCTATATAGACTCCCCATTCCAATAGGCTCGCTTTCTAATGAGCCCCTTCTCTCTGTTAAATCTCCCTCTCTAAAACGCCTACCCTTCTAGGAAATTTCCCTCTCTAATTTTCCTCTTTCTCTAATAACCTCCCTCTCTAATTAGCCCCCTATTAAATAAGCCACCCCCTGTCTGTTAAATCCCCCCATCTAATAAACCCCCCACTTTAAAGGGCCTCCCCTATTATGAAACGTCCCTTTCTAGTTAGCCCCCTTCCCTATACCCCCTTTAATAAGTCCCCTCTTTGTTAAGTCCCCCTCTCTCGTAAACTCCCATTTCCGAAAGGCTTCCCCCTCTAGAGAACTCGTCCTTCTAATTGGCCCCTTTCTCTGATAACCTCCCTCTCTGATAAGCCGCCTCTTATAAACAAAGATCCCTTCTCCAATAAACCCTCCTATGCCCACTCTTCCTAATAAAAAAAAATTACAGACAGTAGTTTTGTCATTCATTTGTTTTAGGTGGTGCTGCAACACAATGTCTTCTTATAAAAGCACTTGTCAGTTTTTTCCTTTTAATGTCTCGTATAGGCTTTCAACCTAATAAATATACTTGTTGTACGTTTTTCATTAAATCGGAGCGACAAATTACATCGAAAATAGTCAAACAAGAGTCAGGGTAAACTGAGCCCAGTTCCCATACTTGTTGGAAGAAAAAACATAGAGCAGTTTTCAGAAGAGTCGTGATAACTTTGCTAAGATATCCATGGTTGCCAACGATATGGTGCTCAGGAAAAGAGCTTATTACAAAAGCTAATTGGCTTTCTAATTGGCCTAAACTCTTTACAAATTATCCTTCGTGAGCATTGTTTGTCTCTGGCAGGTCTGTGAGATTGATTGATTGATAACCTCACTTGAGGACAATTGACTAACCCATAGGCGTGGCGTTCAACTCCACGTCTCTGTTTGTCTGACTTTGATAGAGAATCCAAAGGAGCTAAATTCTATTGTTTTGCCTTTGATGCAGCTATTGCCTGACAGAAGTACCGACTACCGGTACAAGAATTCCGTTATCTTTCCTTTTATCTTACTAATCCCATTCAAACATTTCTACAAATAGATAGGCTTAAGGTAAACCCCTTGATAACTGAGATACCGTAAATTTTCAAGCATACGCGCTTTCTTTCTTGCAATAAGGCCCACCCTGATGCTTAAGAGCTAAAATATAGTAAGAAATCTATATATAGCGAAGACAAAGAACGGGGTAACGTTACACCAATCGGACATAATTATTTGTAACTATCTTCAAATGATCTTCAATAATGAATACCATGCTCTTTTTTTTCTGTTTTTTGTTTTAGATTTTGTTGGTAACTAGAAAAGTCAAATTATGTCATTTCCAGAGTAAAGTCATCTGCAATGTTGGGCTTTACAGTAAAGAACAACCGGTCAATTGGTGGTGATTCTGTTCGTAGCTTATACATAAAAGATCTTATTCAAACGCATATACGAAAAATGATATAAGGTAAAGACAGTTACAGGCGGAATGGATAACGCAAACATCCTTGCAAATTGAAAAAAAAACATGTTTTTGTGAAGCGACAATTTCACTTCGAGTTTTTTAGCTATCGACTCTTGTAACATTTTCCATCGTTATAATTTGCGGAAGAGTTAACCCTTGAATTCACTAGATCTCATTAGTAATTCTCTTTACTGTCTGCTGTAAAATTCTTATGACGTTGGTTGGAAAATTTGTTATCAAATCAACTAATCATCCCCTAATAGATACTTTTTCTTTGTTTTCATCCTTTATCTGCTTGATATTATATTGATATCCTCAAAACCGTATTGAACTTTAGAAGAAAATTACCCATGATGTTAAGGCTGATGGAGTAGTTAAGATCTATTGATTCTAGGCTGTGAGAGATAGTTTTCTGACCGGAAAGATCCTTTTTTTTCTCATTTTAGCAGTTTATTCATATGGGATGCCTGGAACAGGGGCTAAGCTTTAACACTAAAAATTCGGTGTTGGAAAACGTACCCAAATTTTCAGCGACTGTCGAAGATGTATCAGTTTCACTTAAGCCACGTCAAAATATTAGTGATTCGACTTTAAAGCCCTCATTGATCTGTTGCAAATACATTTTGTGAAGTTTGCATTCTGAATCACGTTCTTCACATGTCTGGGTCAAGAGCAGTGAGTGAAATAGATGCGGAACGTTTGTTTGATGAGTCGGATAAATGAAATATTCAGTAAAATTGCTACATATGATAAGAAAAAATGGATTTCATTACTGAAAGGATGGCAAACACCTTTGCCAACTTGAGCGTATATATGCACAATATGCGATCTATTTTCGTTTGGACGAGGATTGTAGTTTTTGGAGTAGCATCCACTTCTCTGTTGTATTGATAACACCACAAACACTAATAGTAATGCAAAACTGATTTATCTTCCCAAATTATCTTCTTCTTATTATCTTCTTCAAAATTATGATTAAGAAAAAACTTAATCCTTCAACACCCAAGACTTCCTTAGTAATTCTCCTTACTAACTTCCATATTATTCTTATGATGTAAGTTTGGAGAATTCGGTATTGGATCAACTAAAAATTGATATTTTTCCTTACTGTTATCGCTTGTCTTGTTGATATTGTATCATATTGGAAGGAGAAATTATGTCCTGCACGAGATTATTTAGCAGCAAAGTGTTCAAACAGAAATACCTGACATGACTCTTGATCCTTAGAGCCAAACCGCTTCCAAACGTCAGGCTTCAAATCGATGAACCTGAAATAAGAAATGTTTTGTTTAATTATGAAAACAGTCTTTCTCTAGAAATGAACAATTGAAATATTGAAATCTTGACGCAGTTATCATAACACTTTAAATATTTGATCCTATAGGATCAGGCCTACTTCTATGACCAGATACAAACAAACAGTTCAACAGTTACAAATGGTAACTCATCAGAGAGACGCTATCATTAACACACACATTATGTGATGAATCAGCAATGGATGAAAGTGGTTGAGTGACTTCACATCGGTTTCTACTGTCTTCAGTCCTTTATTGCAGCCATATGACCCTCTTACAGATGTGGTCGGAGAAGACAAAAGTTTAAATCAAATGTGCCGACATTTGCGCGATTTTAAGCTTTGTTTGAGGGTTTGATCCGCGACTCTTGCACATAACGTCATTTCTGTGCTTCATGTTAATGTTGTAAACAACAGAATTACGACTTTGTCGGCCGTTAACCCGTACATTGTGTTAAGGGAGCTGTGAAAACAGAAACATCAGCTGGGAAAATATCGTATTAGAATTTACCTGAAAGTACTTAAACTCAAGTTACCTTGTACCCTCTGTATTCCTTCCGCCGCACTGATAAGCCTTGAATATGCCGCTTAACGACGTTATGGCCCGATAATGCGTATGCTAAATGGCTGATAAATAATTTCCTTATTTACTGATGAATAAGATTCGGACGTGACCAAATGCACTTCCGCAGGGGCTGTGAGGTTAAACATACCGATATAGAATTCCCCTCCAAGAGAGCAGGATCTAAATGTGTAAAATGCACATTTATATCCATGCTTATACCTGTGCCAGAGCACTTTCATTTTAAACCCTTTTTTAGTTTGTGTACAAAATTTGTTAGGAAATAAAAATTCATCTCTCATACATGAATATTTATAACGTCATTTATCACAACTGAAATCAATTGCTTTATAACTCCTAATGACTGAAGTTTTCTCTTGTTTCTTGCAAACTGAAGAGTGCCATTCTAATTTCGTATTGAACCAAGGAATTAAACCGTCTGGGAATTTTCTTATTTAATGAAACTTCCGAAAGATATAAGTTATGTGAACTAATTATGTCCCTTGTACGTTAAGGAATTTTACAGGAAGTATTGAAAGGTTCCCGAAGAGTGTGCTATTACACTGATATATCATATTGACAAGGGACGTATCTGATGGTTGTTATCTTATTTCAAGGCACGTGTTTGTGGTTCGCTAGGCAAAAGTTTAAATATAGAATTCCACCTACATCGACCAAAGCACCGAGGTCAATTTAAAGTCTGTTACTCCGCTCAGATATCATCGATGTGGTACTGAACAAAGCAACGCTCAATAGACTTCCTTTCAAATGTTACACTGGTTTTCAATCAACCACAAACTCAATAGCTACATGGTCAAAACTTCCTTGTGCAATTAAAGAAACATAAACATTTGGCGTTTAAATGTCTGATGGCCACACTGCCTTCATTTATTTGGTCAGCTGCACACCGTTCACGGGAAAACTCGTGGCTAACTTTGACTTTATGTCGAGATACTGAAGGCCCTATTTTCTCTTCAGAAGCTTTCACTGAAATGGTCACACTTCGGTTTCATCGCCAATAACAATCTTTCACAGCATAACAAACAATACCACAAATTTTAAATTGTATTATATTAACCTACTGTTTAGGTAAATAAATGCAAAGTCCTCTTAAACTCGTTTGGACGTTCTTAAGAAAGAACTGGAAACTCTCTTACCTTTTTTCTTCAAGTAACTACAAATTTCTTTCACTTTCGAATTCAGACACAAACAAACTGTGTCTCTCTATAGATTGACTATCTGTCGGCAGTTGACGATCGATATCAGCGTGTTAAGCCGTATTTGCCAGTCTTATTAGATATATAACGGTATAAGGTGATATTGTAAACAAAATGTCTCCATAACAGTCAAAACTGTTAAATAATCACAAAGGAAATTGTGGGGGGCCAGAGAGACGTACAGATGGATGGATTTGAACAAGATTAGGACGGATTACAATGATCTAATTAATCCAACTTACCGACACCACCTTCACGACGCTTGAATTCACTCGATGTCGCCGCCGGGTCAATCTGCTACAAAGCTGGCGATAAACAATACTCGGAAATGAATCCTCTCTTTCGCCACGGTCTGCAACGCTAATGTCATTTGTGTTCATACTAATGCAACAGTTAGATAAGAAAGTTAACAACTTGTTTTCAAGTAATTACGCGAACATTTTTGAACAGAAAGAGAACGTAGATTCCTTATAATTCTTGGGTTACAAGCATTTTTGTGGCGAGATAACAGTAGTTATTTTTTACAAATTAGCCATTTTTAATTAATCATTACGTTGCTGTGTTCCTAAATCCGTTTTATTCCTAATTTCTCAGAAGCCTCCCACCACTGATCTTGTTAAGAAACTAATAACTGAGTACATGACAATGTTCCGTTTTCTCATTCCGCTATAATCTTCGACTTTGCAAGTTTTCACGTACGCCCCAAACCCTCCAATTGCAGTGGAGGGTCTTATGCAATTTTTTTTAATTTTATATTTAATTTTTAAAGTTTCCGCTTTAGAATTTTCGGTCAGCTTTTTTGGATAAAGATACCTCGAATTCTTTCTATTTTTGCAAGACAGGATGAGAAATAATTCTAGCATTTTTATATAAATATTAAAGTTTGGCCCAAAGCGTAAATTTTTGTCTGCAAACAGGAAACAAGGCAATCTATTTTCTTTCGACGATGTCTTAAAATATCGCGTCCAGAAGAGGTAGCAATTATTGAAGGTTCTTTCATACGAAGTCACTTGGGCAAAGCTGCGTGAGGTGAGCCACCAAACTTTTGCATGAGACTTAAGCTGTCTAATGATGCAATAAAATTTCGCGCAAGGTATGCACTCTTTCTAAACATAACATGATGATAAACGAGGTGTGATCGCGTGAAAATTATAACACGTAGTAATTTACTGTGATCAACAGTCCTCTCAGTCAAAACGCAAAGTCTCTTTGTTTCAATGGAAGATCTGTTACCCTGAGTCAAAGGCCAAGAAAAACAAAGATGCAATTATAAGACCATTGTTATAAATTTATCAAGAAAATATCGCTACGAAATTCAAGAAAGATGAAACAAGAAAAAAAACAGAAAGTTTTCATTGTCAATTCGACGCAGCCTAGACAGCTATTTAACAAATGATCATCAGCTGCTAATCTCTGAAGCCCTTCCCGACAACAGAAAATTATAGGCAATTGCTAAATACCTTTAAATTGAGCTCAGTAGACTAAAACGCCCTCACGTCTTTAGTATTTCCACTCTATCAGCCGAAATTTTACACCGTGGTTATTGAAAGAATCCATCACTGGCTGCCACCAGCAGGTGAAGAAAAATTAAAAAGTACATTGGCGGTGTCATATAAAAGGATCCTCTAGTTCTCTCACTTCATGGTGAACTACAATTTGTCAGTTTGATGTTTTACGTCCATTGTTCAGTAGCCAAGATTATGGGCCATTTTACGGTTAGCAGGTCGTTCTGAACAGAATATCAGTATCACTATTGTGTTTCAGTCCAAGCCATTTAGTTCGCTTGCATACACGTGAAAGACATTATTCATGAAAAGGAGAAACTCTAGACAACGCAATAAAATCATGAAAGCACACCGCTACCAGTAAAAAATCTTCTGATTCCTTTAAAAGTAACTTTTGTACGTCGTCGTCAAAATTTTAACTTAGGAAATCGTTTTAATCTTAAAAACCGTTTCACAAATGAAACGTAACTGTTTCATTTGTGTTTTAATATCCTTTTATCGTGCATTTGTTTTTCCATTAAGAATACAAAGGAAGAAATCGCAATTGATTTTAATGGCTTTTACGTTCACTAATGGGTTTTCGTTCTAATTATAGTATAGATGGACGAGTAAAGATTTGTGAACCAGTTATCTGGTCCGTCTCATGGTTAAGCTCTCGTTTGTGTGTTTACATTGAACGGTAGGAAAGCTAAAGTCTTTATCGCTGTTAATTCTCTCAGACAAATTTGCCATGTTCAAAGAACTAGAACTCAAATACCATTACAGACGAGTGGATTTTTTGTAACTAAGATTGAAATTAGCCTTAAGCTTCCAGATGGTTTGTTAATGATCGCCGAATCTTGAGATCGATAAACTGCTGATAAGTGTAAAAGGGTAAAAGTTGTACTGAACAAATCTAGACTGTTTTATTTATGGCTGTAAACATTATCTATTGAAAACAATGGCTGTAATCTGTTAAATTCTATCTGTGATTTTTTAAACAGGTGATGTTTACAGCTGTCCTTATCAGCCCGTGGTTCACTAAGAAGGATTGAGATAAGCCCTTAGCCCTTTACTGCTTGAATTTCCCGTTAGACTGTTGGTGTGGACACTTCTTTTTAATCCTCAGGCTGAGGAGAAGAGACCCCCTAAAGCGCCAGTAATGGCCATCACCTCCCTAAACGATGTTTATCAATACATTTGGTTAACAAGAATCACAAACGTCTGTAGAAACTGATACATGTATGAATCCTGTACATAACTTTTTTCAAGGATAGGCGGCTAACGATAGTTTAAACTAAATGAGCTGATAATCCTATGTTATTCTTGTGGCAAATTTCCTTCTCTAAGCCATAGATGGACTAGCATTTTAAAATAGCTTTCTAAATATATAAAATCATTTGTGGAACGCATTTCTTTGTTTGGACCAGTTACTTTAAAAATGTGGAAATTAATATTTATCATCAAGCCACACCACATGAAATTTCTTTTGTCCAAAAAGAGCGGAGCAAGTTATCTTTTGCTTCTTTCGTGAATTCTGCGCTCGTTAATTCTGTTCTTTTTCTTTATTTATTTTTTTTTTTTTAATCTGTTTTTTCCTATTTTTATCTTTAAATTTTTTTTATCAATTCCAAAGTAACGCTATTGCCGTTTCGTTTCATTTTAAGGCCCCTTTATACGATCTACTGTGTGCTCCCTAAATGAATGCATAGATGTGTAGCTTTGAACTGATTTTTTCGATATTGCTACTGATGTCAACAAGCAAGTTCAAATTTGTCTTTCAAGCGACGTCGCTTTGTAAATTCCTTTTAAGAGAACACATGGTTTTCGCGGAACCTGTACCAGAAAGACCTTTAGGAAAAGTCTGGCAACTTGATCTGTAGGTGAGAGAGAAGACATCCGGTAATGACTAAAAAGGAGAGACAGAACAAAATTCCTGCAGAATCTAAGGTAAAATATCTCAGCAAACTCTAGGCTGCTACCAGACAGATTTCTTGACTTATTAGAAATACAATATGGTGTAACAGATCAAGATGATGGTTATTCTACGAGCTGTCGCCATCGTGGATTAACTTAAACAGCTTCTAAGCTTACTTTTTTTTTTCTTTTCTAAGTTTACTCACTGCTCATGTCGACGTTACGTACTCAAACATGTAGCAGTATCTCATGGTCAGTGATCACGCGCGGTCGTAAATTCTTTACTTACTAAGATCCCATTCGAAGTCGACACATACTCGCATTTTAATTGCCTGGCGAACAGTCCTTTACGGATTAAACCCAAGTGCGGCCTTTTCTCATGACCGCCCACCTTTCCGCTGTCCCATAATGACAAAGCAAAATTTTGCTTTCAGACTCAGCTTTTCCTGTTGGACATTTTAAGATCTTGTTTTTCAGGAAATCTTTGAATTCTTTGATTCAACTCGGAGGTCTGTGTGTCAGATCTATTTGCGCATAAAGTAACTTTAAAAATTACTTGCTTTCTTTCTCTTTTTTAATCTTTTGGTGCTGTTAACTTTTCTAAACAATGTTGTCTACCAAATAAAAATACACTGCAAATAAAAATTTTCTATTAGGTTGTCGTGTGTCCTAACTCTGACAGAACA